TCACATGACAACCCCCCCCCCCCCGGACACTGCGACCGTCATAAATATGAGTCGCCAAGAACCTGAATTTTGATCGTGTGGCCTCGGGGATGCTGCAAATGTAAAAACCGTTTGTTAAGTCACATTTTTCGGTGTCGTTGAAACTTTGGACAGTTGCTAAATGAACTATTGTAAGTCGAGGGCTACTTGTAAGTGCCAATTTCCAGCAAAACCGTCGTAAATCGTAGTCACTTGACTCTCGGACACCACGAAGGGACGTAGCACAGCCGTGTTGTCGAAGACCCATTGTGCAGTCACATGAACTACAGATCCTGGCTTTAAGAGTAGATCCCTTGTTAACGTCAATCTATTGCTAAGCGACCGGTCGTAAGCCAAGGACTACCTGTTTGACCCACTCCTCAAAATTAAGCGAGAAAGCCTTGTGGATATTTTCTCCCACCGCCCCGAGCAGGGGTGAAATCCAGCAGGTTCTGACAGGTTCTGGAGAACCGGTAGCGGAAATTTTGAGCAATTCAGAGAACCGGCAAATACCACTTCTGGCTGGCCCCAGAGTGGGGTGGGAATGGGGATTTTGCAATATCCTTCCGGTGGAGTGGGGAGGGAATGGGGATTTTGCAGTATCCTTCTCCTGGAGTGGGGAGGGATGGAGATTTTGCAGTATCCTTCCCCTGGAGTGGGGTGGGAATGGAGATTTTGCAATATCCTTCCGCTGCCATGCCCCCCCAAGCCACGCCCTCAGAAACCGTTAGTTTAAAAAAATGTGGATTTCACCACTGGACCAGAGTTGTCTTCCCATTTCCACCTACTTGTGGGAATTTTATCACTGGAGGCTTTCAAGAAGAGATTAGACTGCCGTTTGTCAGGAACGGTGTACGGCAGTGTCGGCCAACCTTTTCCGCACCGAGTGCCGAAATGGGGAGCACGCGTGCCAGGCGGCGGCTCTTCCAGTTTCCGGCACACACATGTGCCCCGGCCAATTGGTCTTCTTGTGCGCATGCGTGCCAAGAAGACCAGGTGCGTATGCGGGCACCGGAAACCGGAATATCCTCTTCCTGGCAAGCGCATATGCACCGGGCAGCTGCTCTTCCGGTTTCCAGTGCTCTAGCGTGCGTGAAGACCAGCGGACCCCGGAATAGCAACAGGCAACAGCTCGCGTGCCCAGAGAGATGGCTCTGCGTGCCACTTCCATCACATGTGCCATAAGTTCCCCATCACAGGTGTAGGGTCTTCTGCTAGGGCAGGGGGTTGGACTAGATGACCTGCAGGGTCCCTTCCATCTCTGTTAATCTATCATCTCAAAAGCCAGGGGATTTTGCTTACTCGGGCAAAAAGTTGGTCCATCAGGAAGCATAAACATCTTCTATTGTTGACGGGTAAGTCCGACAAAAGCTATTCAAAATGTGGGTTTTACACCAAGCTTGTTTTCGCTCCTTTGATGACAAGTCCGCTGGGGGAAATGTGCCCCCCCCCGACGGGCATTTTGAGGGATGCCTAGACAGACAAACCTGTTTGTTGCAAAAAAAAAACACACAACCCACTTGGCGCTTTGCTGGCAGGCTGGCATTATTAGCGCAATAACCTCCATCTGTTTTGTCGTTGAGTGCAAAGCCAGAGATGTGCAAGGAAAAATCAAATCTTTAAATCGATTTCTTAGCTCTCCTGGATTTGTAAACCCTTCCCTGCTGCGTTTAATGGCTGTTAAGTCCTTTATATATAAGTTAGTCCTCGGCTTACGACGGCAGTTGAGCCCTACCTTTCCACCGCAAAGCCAAACCGTCGTTAAGGGAGTTTAGGACCTTCCTTGCCGCAGGTGTTAAGGGAATCCAGCTTCTCCATTGACTTGGCTTTTCAGAAGATCGCAAAGGGGGATCACGTGACCCCGGAAGACTGCAACCGTCGTAAGTTCATGCCAGTTGCCAAGCCTCTGAATTTTGATCACGTGACGATGGGGATGCTGCAATGGTTGTGTGGGAAAACGGTCGTAACTCGTATTTTCAGTGCTGTTGTAATTTCAGACAGTCAATAACAAATGTTTGTATATCGTCTCTATTTATCCATCCCTTTCTCTGTCTTAACTAGCTCTATCATCTATCTATCTACCTACCTACCTGCCTCTCTATCCATCCATCCATCCATCCATCTACCCACCTACCTACCCATCCCTTTCTCTTAACTAGCTCTATCATCCATCCATCCTACCTACCTACCCTTCTCTCTTTAGCTCTATCATCTGTCTATCACCCATCCATCCCTTTCTAACTAGATCAATCTATTTATATCTATCTATCTATCTATTCTATCCATCCATCTACCCACATATACCCATCCCTCTCTTAAGTAGCTCTATCATCTATCTACCTATCATCTACCTACCTACCTATCCCTTTCTCTTTAGCTCTATCATCTGTCTATCACCATCCACCCATCAATCCCTTTCTAAGTAGCCCTATCTACCTACCTACCTACCTACCCATCCATCCTTCTCTTTAGCTCTATCATCTGTCTGTCTATCTCCCATCCATCCATCCTTTCCAACTAGATCTATCTATATCTATCATCTATCTAGCCATCCATCCATCATCCATATCTATCTTATCTCTATCTATCTATCATCCATATCTATCCTATCTATCTATCTATCTATCTATCATCCATCTATATTATCTATCTATCATCCATATCTATCTATAACTATCTCTATCATCCATCTCTATCATCTATCATCCATCTCTCTTATCTCTATCATCCATATCTATCTTATCTATCTCTATCTATCATCCATCTATATTATCTATCTATATTATCTATCTATCATCTATCTATTCTATCCATCCATCTACCCACCTACCTACCCATACCTCTTAACTAGCTCTATCATGTCTATCTACCTATTTATCTATTTATCATCTACCTACCTATCCCTTTCTCTCTTTAGCTCTATCATCTATCACCCATCCACCCATCCATCCCTTTCTAACTAGCCCTATCTATCTACCTACCTACCTACCCATCCATCCTTCTCTTTAGCTCTATCATCTATCACCCATCCATCCATCCCTTTCTAATTAGATCTATCTATCTATCTATCATCTATTCTATCCATCCATCCATCCATCTACCCACCTACCTACCCATCCTTCTTAACAAGCTCTATCATCTATATCTATCTTCTCTATCTATCTATCTATCTATCTATCTATCTATCTATCTATCTATCTATCTATCTATCATTTACCTACCTACCTACCCTTCTCTCTATAGCTCTATCATGTCTATCATCCATCCACCCATCTATCCCTTTCTAAGTAGCCCTATCTACCTACCCATCCATCCTTCTCTTTAGCTCTATCATCTATCACCATCCATCCATCCCTTTCTAATTAGATCTATTTATCTATCTATTCTATCCATCCATCCATCTACACACCTACCTACCCATCCTTCTTAACTAGCTCTATCATCTATATCTATCTATCTATCTATCTATATCTATCTATCTATCTATCTATCTATCTATCTATCTATCTATCTATCTATCTATCATCTACCTACCTACCTACCCTTCTTCTTTAGCTCTATCATCTGTCTATCACCCATCCACCATCTATCCCTTTCTAAGTAGCCCTATCTACATACCTACCCATCCATCCTTCTCTTTAGCTCTATCTGTCTATCACCCATCCATCCATCCCTTTCTAGCTAGATCTCTCTCTCTCTCTCCTCTCTCTCTCTCTCTCTAGATTTATGGCCACCAGCAGTTGTATCCCAAATGTAATGTCTGTGTTTGTGTGTGTATACACCTGAGGTTAATCCTGAACAAACTTAGCATGTTTGCAAACGCCCTGTTCAAACATGTTGTGTAAACACGGCATTAATTATAACTTTGAGAAGTGCCACAGAACCTTTTCTTGTTTTGATTGCAAGGGACTAGCCAGCTCCCTCTCTGAAAAATACTTTTTATAGACATTTTTGTCTGGGTTTTTGCTTGCCTTTCTTGTTTACAACTCATACTAAAGTGATTTAGAAACAGATTAAGAACCCATTAAAAGTCCAATGGTGGCCACCTCCCTGTCCCAAAATACGAAGCAATACTTTTTATGGACTGATCTATAAATAGACACATTAGGACAGAAGAGTAGAAGAGAACAACAGAGTTGGGAACCTTGGAGGTCTTCTTGTCCAGCCCCTTACTCAGGCAGGAAATTGTATACCCTTTCAGACTAATCTCTTCTTAAAAACTTCCAGCGTTGGAGCACTCACAGCTTCTGGAGGGAAGCCAATCAGATGAACTGAATTGGGAGGGACCCTAGAGGTCATCTAGTCCAACCTCCTGCCTGAGCAGGAGACCTTACACCATTTCTGACAGATGGCAGTCCAGTCTCTTCTTGGAAGCCTCCAGGGATGAAGCTCCCACAACTTCCGAAGGCAACTTCTCTTCCATCGGTTGATTGTTCTCACGGTCACAAAATTCCTCCTTATTTCTACGTTGAATCTCTCCTTGTTCAGTTTCCATCCATTGTTCCTTGTCTGGCCTTCGGGTGCCTTGGAAAATAGCTTGATCCCCTTCCTCCTCTCTGTGGCAGCCCCTCAAATATTGGAAGATGCTCTCCTGTCTCCCCTGGTCCTTCTCTTCACTAGACCAGCCAGGCCCAGTTCCTGCAATCGTTCATCCTATGTTTTAGCCTCCCATCTCCTCATCATCCTGGTTGCTCTTCTCTGCACTTTTTCTAGAGTCTCAACAACTTTTTTTTATAGTGTGGTGACCAAAACTGGATGCAGGACTCTAGGTGTAGCCTTACTAAGGCTTTATAGAGTGGTATTAGTGCCTCCCTTGATCTTGATTGCATCCCTCTGTTAATGCAATTTAGGATTGCATTGGCTTTTTTGGCTGCCGCCGCACACGGCTGGCTCATATTTAATTGGAGCTGAGATTCATGTGACAGGTGATCTACCTTTCCCCCCCCCCCACCGAAGTCAAAGAACAGGACCCCAAAGCCAGATTCTGACAACAGTGACTTTTTAATAACCGAGAACCCACAGTGATGAACAGGAAAAATAAAACCCAACCAAATCCATCATCATCATCATCATCATCATCATCATCATCATCATCATATCACACTTTGCTAAAACCAGTAATGTTTCGGCAAGAAATCTGACACTCTCACACTTTCACACTTAACGCTGAACCGTTATTATAACTTAAAAACTGTGACCGAGAACCCTCACTTGTGCTCCTGAAAGATATATAAAAATATGCCATTAAATTCGCCTTGACCATCCCAAAAATACAATAAACAACAACGAAAAAAAAGACTCGGGGGGAATATTTACAGAGGAAGTGAGATATATACCAAATATTTACAAGACGTCAGAAGCCGAAGGGGTCCATCGAACCCACCAAGGGGGTTCAAAAAAAATGATGCTGTGGGAGAAAAGCAAGATGCATTTGCCAATGACGGTTGGGGGGGGTCTGCACCAACCTGGATACCACGTCCATTTGTTGGTGCTACAAGATCAGGACTAGGGCAATCTTTCAACGCTCTGCAGGTTGGAGTGATTTAATTCCTGCCAATTTATTCTGGATGACTAACCCAGAGGTCTTCAAACTTGGCAGCTTTAAGACTTGTGGACTTCAACTCCCAGAATTCTCCAGCCAGCATAGCATAGCTGGCGGGAGAATTCTGGGAGTTGAAGCCCACAAGTCTTAAAGCTGCCAAGTTTGAGGACCCCTGATCTAACCATTCCTGTTTTGGTCTAAACTGGGATTATATTTCTTGGGTGTTGCACATCCGTCTGGAAATCGTCACAACCGGTAGCCATATGCAAGGGACGAGTTGTGGAGAGACCCTTCTGAGCATGTACAGAGAGTTATTATTTTTGTCTCTCTCGCCAAAGCTGAGCCCAAAAATGTCATATGGGGAAAAATCTAAGGAGAGAGGTTTTCATGGTCGGTGATGGGAGTTATCGTGGGAAGAAAGGCCTCAAAAGTTTCTCTTAAAGTTACAAGGTGTAAAGTATAACATCTGTTTGCTTTTGGGTGTGGGGAGCGGCGTAAATTTGGAGGAGAGGATGAAGCGTTGGTGGCAAAGGTTGATGAAGGGTAGAGAGATATCCATCCAGGAGTATAACAAGAGTAAAAATTAATAAAATCACTTTAGAACGAGTTTGAAGAAAATGGCTGTTTCCTACAACAATGGCTTCTGTGTTTCTTGTTTGGCCACTGGAAGATGGGTGGACTTCAACTCCCAGAATTCCCCAGCCTATCTTCCAGTGGCCAAGCTTGAAAATCGCTAGCAAGTTCATTAATGAAAATTATAGTGATTCCTTTTTTTTTGGGTCCCCAAACAGAATTCCTGATGCTTATTTTCTTGAAACTCTGAGCCCCAGTAAAATTTTCTACAGGTACTCTTCAACTTACAACCACAATTGAGCCCAACATTTCTGTTGCAAGTGAGTTTTGCCCTTTGTTACAACTTTTCTTGCCACGGTTGTTAAGTGAATCTGGCTTCCCCGTTGACTTTTTGTCAGAAGGGTCGCAAAACGGGGATCACATCACCCCAGGATACGGCAACTGTCATAAGTGTGAAGCAGTTTCCAAGTGGCTGAATTCTGACCATGGGAAAGCTTTAAGGGTCGTTAAGTGTGAAAAACAGTCATGTCCCTTTTTTCAGTGCTCTTGTAACTTTGAACAGTTGCTAAATGAATTGTTGTAACTCGAGGACTACCTGTATTAAGTTGTTCGAATAGATGACCTCTAAGAACCCTTTCACCTTATAAATTCAGGGATTCTAATCCTGCGTGAAAGCTCAGCTGAAGTCTTATAGAATCATAGAGTTAGAATTTAGCGTAGAGATCAATTCTTCACTGTGGCACTGGCAGGGGAATTCTGGGAGTTGAAGTCCACCCATCTTCCAGCGCTGAAGTGGAGAAATTATGGATTTCCAAGGGAATTCTGGGAGTTGAAATCCACATTTCTTAAAATGGCCAAAGTGGAGAAATTATGAATTTCCAGGGGAATTCTAGGAATTGAAGTCCACATCTCTTCCAGCACCAAAGTGGAGAAATTATGAATTTCCATGGGAATTCTAGGAATTGAAATCCACATCTCTTCCAGTGCCAAAGTGGAGAAATTAGGGAATTCTGGGAGTTGAAGTCCACATTTCTTAAAATTCTTAAAAATTATGAATTCCCAGGGAGTTGAAATCCACCCATCTTCCAGCACCAAAGTGGAGAAATTACGAATTTTCAGGGGAATTCTGGGAGTTGAAGTCTACACGTCTTCACGTTACCGTGGAAAAATTACCAAATTCCAGTGGAAATCTCTAAGTTGAAAGCCCACACATCTTCAAGTGGCCAACATGGAGAACTTATGAACTTCAAGAAAGTTAGGAAGTCCCTTTTCAGCCAAGAATTCAGCCATTCGGTCTTTTTAAAGGATTCTCCACGTTTACCAAACTGTAGACAAAACAAGAAATCCAGGGCCACGAAAAACAAAATCCCTAAATTGGTTCAAATGCTACCTAAATACAGGTGATACAAGGTCTCCTCTCACATGTTATAATTTCCCTGTTTCCACCCTGGGAGACAATTATAATTTGGAGACAGTTTTGGATCGCCTCCAAGGACGGCTTGGGGGAAGAGAGGCCAGGTGAGATAGCGTTCTAAAAAAAGAACTGAAAATAACGGTGAAGTCTAGAGAGTCAGGATAGGTCCACAATCATTACCTTCAGCAGGCTAGAGTGATTTGGGGTTAATACAGGTAGTCCTCGATTTACAACCTCAACCGAGTCCCAAATTTCTCTTATTAAATGAGTTTTGCCCCATTTCACCACCTTTCTATCCACAGTTAAATCACTGCAGTCGTTAAGTGAGGGACACGGTTGTTAAGTGAGTCAGGCTTCCCCATGGACTTGTCAGGTCGCAAAACGGGATCGCACGACCCCGGGACATAGCTCCCATCATAAATATGAATCGGTTGCCAAGGTGTCTGAATTATGATTGTGTGACCACCGGGGTTGCCGCAACAGTCGTGCGAAAAATCGTAAGTCACTTTCTTTGGTGCCTTTGTTGTTACTTGGAACGGTCGCTAAATGAACTGTTGTTAAGTTGATGTCCAAATTTTATTTGGGCAGGGGGTGACCGCGAGGGAGAAAAATGATGTATAGTACGTCGGAGCATCAAAACAGTTGAGATGGTGGTAGCCAGCTTGACTGTTGGTCCCCCTTCGCTGGACGTGTCCATCTTGGGAGAAGCGATGGCTGAAAGCTGATGAGGTTGGATGGTTTCGTAAGACTTTGGCCCTAAGAGAAATGGAGACGGACGAAGAAGCCCACACGTATTTCGGAAGGTTCGTAAGGAGGCCTCCTGCAGATGTTCAGAAGAATGAAGGCTAGATATTAAGAGGCTTGGAAGGACCTTCTGTGAGAGCTTTTACATGAAATCAGGGTGTCGGGAAAGCCCCAAAAATTGGCACAGGAAGGTCCCTTTGATGTGGCTAACACAACAAAATGGAGTCCCCAGTGTTTGAAGGAGACTTCAAGCTTACAACCATCTGATTTTTGCTCTTCAAAGAGCCAAGTTAAGAGGGTAGACAATTCCCCGTCGGCTGGGGGATTCTGGGAGTTGAAATCCATCCAAGCTTCATGTTGCCGAGACTGACAAAAACCGCTCTAGAAAAACAAAAGCCTCTGAGCATAATTTCTGGTGACTATTTTGGCACCTCCACGATCCTTTCACAGCCGCAAAAGAGAATGCATGCCACTTCTGTTTCCCAGGATGGTTTTTTCCTCCTCCCTAACTGTTTTCTGCCTGGGATTTCCTGGTGGCCTCCTTTCCAAGTAATAATAAGCCAAGTGCTGGCTTTTCAAACTCAGCCGAGGAAGCAATGCTTTTATTGTCAGATCCACCCCGATCCTAATATTATCTTGTTATAACAAAATAAATCTTGAAGTCAAAACAAAATCTAGGTTAAATCCGTTTGAACTAAAAGTTAAAGCCCAATGTTTAGGTGCATGTTTTGTATCACGGATTCAGCAATAACTGAAGAGGTGCAGAAGTCCTGCGAAGAACAAGATATGGTCTCATTTCAAAACCAACCGGATAAAATTAACATTTTAAGTTTCGTTCCAAAGTGTTGAGTTTGGGTGAATTAGGAAGCTCAGTCGTCCAGACTGTGATTTTAAGTGCTCGGATTTCGAAGAGGGGTAAGAAAATCTGTAGCGCGGGATTTATTATTTAGATTGGAAGCAAGTGCACAATTTGGGGGCCCAAATAACTTCTCCGTGGATATGTTTCAAATCCTTAAGATTGCTACCAGTAGAAGGGAATGTCTGTAGCTCTGTGGGGCCCTTGGTTGCTCTCTGAGTTTGGTGGTTTTCTTGAAGACGTTTCAAGACCCAGGTAGGTAACATCATCAATGCTAGGAGGGAGGGAGGTTTGTGGAGGAAAAGAGGAGGAGGAGGAGAACTGTGGGGTCTTTAGTGCTCTCTGAGATTGGTCGTTTTCTTGGGTCATGTTTCATGACCCAACTAAGAAACATCATTGGTGATAGAAGACTTCGGGGTATCTTCTCCCCACTCCCTTCTAGCACTGATGATGTTACCTCGTTGGGTCGTGAAACGTCTGCAAGAAAGCAACGTAGCTCAGAGAACACCCTTAAGACTGGCTTAAGTTATTGGTCTCCAAATTGCTCGGCTTCTACTGATAATTATATCCTAAAAGACTCTCTACCAAGTAAAAAGTTATGCCTTTGGGGCATTAGGAATCTGCCTTTTCTCACATTCTCTAAGAGATGTAGGCTGCAAAACACAACCAGATTTGGGACAATTTATATATGGGTCAGTCCGCATTGGATGGATGAAGTTCTCATCCGGGAATACATGGCCGAAGGAAGGCCAGATCGAGACTAAAATTCTCCCCTACAAATTCTCATTAATGCTCCAATAATCTTATATTTCTGTTCCTTTCCAATTTCTTTCCTAGCCACCTCCAACGGCCACACAGAGCGGCTGATGCGCAGACCCTCAAATTTCATTTTAGGCGTAATTGTTGCTTCGTTCGCAGTCTTGCTTCTCTCCTGATTTTCTGGGGCAGCAAACACAACATTTCTTTGGGGAGGGGGTGTTATTATTTCTTTCTTTTTTTGGGGGGGTGGGGAAGCCCTCCTTGATGTTCCTAAAAAAAAAAAAGCCACCTGCAAATTAAGTGCTGCTAAGCTCTCCGTGCCTCTCCGTTCCCTTCTGCAAACAGTGAAGAGCTGGCATTAAAAAAAAAAACACACACACACACACAGACAAAATATAAATACTGTACAAGGTACCAGGTTGGGGTGGGGTGGGGGCCTGTAAAGCTCTCATCCACGCCCCCCCCTTCTTCTCCAGGATGCCGCGGTGAGGAAGCCCCAAGGAAAATGCAATGGTGAGGATTTGGATGGTCTGCTCTGGATTGCAACTCTGCTACTTGGATCGATTCTTCTCAACCCGGGCAAATTTTAAAGATGGGTGGACTTCAACTCCCAGAATTCCCCAGCCAGGTGTGTTTGTGTGTGTGGGGAGTTGAATCCAGAAGTTGTGGGTGCCCCAACACTGGAGGTTTTTAAGACGAGATTGGATAACTATTTGTGCCTGAAATGGTACAGGCAGTCCTCGACATACGACCACAAGGGAGTCCGAAGTTTCGGTTGTTAAGTGAGGTTTGCTCCATTTTATGACTTTTTTTTTGCCTCAGTTGTTAAGTGAGTCACTGCAATTGTTAGAATAGAATATGAGTTGGAAGGGACCTTGGAGGTCTTCTAGTCTAACCCCCTGCCCAGGCAGGAAACCCTACACCACTTCAGACAAATGGTTATCTAACATCTTCTTAAAAATTTCCAGTGTTGGAGCATTCACAACTTCTGTTAAGTGAATCTGGTTTTCCCCGTGGACTGTGCTCATCAGAAGGTCGCAGAACACATAACTCAGGGAAAACAGTAATGGTCATAAAATGAATCAATTGCCAAGCGTCTGAATTTTGATCGTGTGATTATGGGGAATGCCGCGAAGGTCATAACTGAAAAATGGTCATAAGTCGCTTTTTTTCAGTGACGTTGTAACTTTGAACCATCACTAAATGAACTGTGGCTGGACTAGAAGACCTCCAAGGACCCTTCCAACTCTTGTTATTCTTTTATTCTGATTTCCGCTCCCAGAATTCCCCGGGTGGCCAGGGAATTCTGGGAGTTGAAGTCCACCCGTTTTAAAATTGCCCAGGATGAGAAACACTGTTTGAAACCCTTGTTAACTGTTTCCCCCACAATTTCTTTGTTCCAACCAGCCTTTTATAAACAACCATACGCACACAGACACACACACACACACAGACACTTCAGCTACTCTGGAATGACTCCATTACAACAGGCCGCAACCTCCTGTACACACCAAGGACATTTTCCGTTATCATGATTCGGACCATCTTCCGACGAGACGAGGAAACAGCCGTTAAGCATCCTCAGCCCCCTACGCAGTTTCTATCCTGTGGCCCCAAACAACTCCTCTTTGCTCCGATCAACAATAAATAAAAGATTATTTATACATACACTTGAAAAAAATAAGACACATGCGCACCCACGTGCAAGCGAAAAAGAAAACCCCTAGAGTTATCGGTACCCTGGCGGCCGAGGAAAAGGAATCCCCCGGGAGCGTTAAAACGGTGAAACGGAGTGAATTGGAAGGTAACCGGGTGTGCGAAGTGTTGGGAGGTGAAGAGTGGATTTGGGGGGTTTTGAACCTCCTTTTTTGAAAAGCCACGTGGGCGAATCGAACTCTGGATGGAGCATAGATTTCTGGATGTTTTCTAGATCTCCTGAGATCGCTTTGAAGACCTTCATCGGCACAAGATCCAACCCCTCGGTGGGTCGAGCCGGGGACAATCTCACCAAATCGTTTCCACCAAGTGGAGTATCCCTTTCTTAAACGGGGCTGAAGGTCCATCTTTGCCCTCTCTGGGCCTTCCCACGGGGCCTCTGCGTAACAACGTGGCCCCTCGGGCCCTCCTGAAGCCTCTCATACGCACGTGTGCGCACGCCTCCCCGTTACACTTAAGAGACAGCGGTAAGCGCGAGGCGTGCAATATGGATGTGCGTTCTACAAGGGGGTCGGTCGGCGGGGATCGGCAACAATTCTCCTCAAGGCACGGCTCCCTCCGGATAGCAATCGCGCATACGAGACAGTCAAGAGGATGACGTACAGCTAAGGAGTACCCGTTCAGGTGTGAACGGCGAGGACGGGAGTTTGGATCTCTCTCTTTCTCGCTCTCTGCCCCGGCCCACCCCAACTGGGGGGTGGGGGAGGGCCCGTTCTGACCCACATCAGACTCTCCAGAGAAGGAGGTGGTTTGTGCTGTCGTCCCGGCCCACGGTCTCACTGCTGTTGGTGAGTCTGAAGTCCTCATAGCCGTCACCACCACTGACCACGAGCATTTTGGATTTGGACGACCGGTGTCTCGTTGAATCCCGTTTGTCCGATTCACTGGATTTGTCTATACCTGTACGGGCAGGTGGGTGAGAGAGGGAGCCGATCAAGACACAATTCTGCATGAAGCAACATAAATCTATCAAAAGTAAAACCAAATGCATTGTTTGGGTAGTCTTTGCCTTACGACCATTCATTTAGTGACCGTTCAAAGTTACAACGGCACTGAAAAACATGACTTAGGACCGGTTTTCACACTTGCGACCATAGAAGCATCCCCGTGGTCACACGATCGAAATTCAGATGCTTGGCAGCTGACTCATATTTATGACCGTTGCCGTGTCCCAAGGTTATGTGATCCCCTTTTGCGACCTTCCGACAAGCTAAGTCAGCGAGGAAGACAGATTCACTTAACAGCTGTGTTACTAAGAATTGCAGTGATTCATTTAACAACTTGGCAAGGTCATAAAATGGGGCAAAACTCACTTAACAACTGTCTGGCTTAGCCATGGAAATTTGGGGCTCAATTGTGGAGTTTGCTAATTATGAATATTTATGCTTACAGCATCTATCACCAATTGAAAATTCCGGCCGGCTCACCTGGTTCTCCTGGCAGGGGAAAAAGGACGTTAAAACCTTCGGGCAGCTCGACGGACGTTAGGAATCGGACGTGACCGGTGTGGCCTTGGGAAAGTCCCACCGGGAGAAGCGGGGTCTTTAGAACAGCCGGGTTGCCTGTGATGGGAAGGGTCAGCACGACCCCTGCGCTGGTGCCGATCCAGAGGAGATCTTTGCAGGCCAAGAGGGAAGTGATCCGCAAACAAGCCGCCTTGTGTTGTCGGATGATGGCATCTGATCCTACAACCGGGGAGAGCAAGAAGTGAATATTAAAAGTCTTTGGGTTATTTTTTCAGGAGAGCCTTCAAAATCAAACCCAGGAATGATGGTTTGTCTGGCCTTGGTTTCTCTTGCCCTCTGGAAATCAAGCTGGTGTCCATAACCACAACTGAGGAGCTGGTAGCGGAGTCGGACAGCGATGAGGCTGAGGAAGGACATGGGACAGTCCTGGAGGCTGGGGAAGGCCCGGATGAGGGCTCTGCGTCGGAGGCAGAGATGGGGCCAGGACCATCGGGGAGTGAGGTGCGGACTCCGGAGCCTCCAGAGCCTGATAGGAGTGAGGCAGAGGAACAGGAGGAGCCTGTTCCTAATGCACACGTGAGAAGAGCTGCCAGAAGGCAAGAGCAGCTCAAGCAAAGAGGACGACTCGGGAGTAAGGCCAAGAGATGATTGGCCCCTCCCATAAGGCTTAAAACAGACCAGCAACGGCGTTTGAGCTTTGCCAGAAAACAACATTGGTAGCTTCGTCTTCTTCTTCGTCTACGTCTTGTATTTATTTTTGTATCTGTGACTTCTGAACGTTTGCCAAGAAAGGCCTTTGGCAGTTTGCCTAATTGGACCAAGGTTTGCGACAGGACTGAAGAATTTGTGTTGGGAGGAATTTGCTATAATTTAGTTGAAAGACGCTGGGAATGAAGTCATTCTCAGCTGTTCGAATAAAGTTTGTTTGTTTCTTCACTGACTGATTTTCCTACTACTTACTTGGGCCTGGGTCACAACAGTGCCTTTTTAAAATGTGTGATCATTTTTCTCAGCCTCGGGAATTTTAAGATGCGGGGACTTCAACTCCCAGAGTTCCCCAGCCAGCATAATAATATTATGTAAGGTATCTCACAAAAAGTGCTCTTAATATAGTTCAGAGTTTCCCAAACTTGGGACTTTGATATGTGGACTTCAACTCCCAGAATTCCCCAGCCAACAAGGGTGGATTTCGACTCCCAGAATTCCCCAGCAAGCAAAAATGGACTCTTAACTTACAGAATTCTGCAGCCAGCAAGCTGGCTGGGGAATTCTGGGAGTTGAAATCCACACATCTTAAGTGGCCAAAGTGTGTCCAGCCACTTTATCTCATAAAGACATACACACATGCTCTCTCGCTCTCTCTTTCTCTCTCTCTCTTTCCCTCTCTCTCTCTCTCTCTCTCTCTCTCTCTCACACACACACACACACACACATCCCGCAATCTCATGTAAGCAGCTGCAATGGCATCTGATTGGCGGTGTCTTACCTGCCAGCATCTTGTGGACCGGAGGGGTGACGTCCACTTCAGCCAACTGGTCATAGCTGGCAGGATGATAAAGCCTGACCTGGGCACTGCCCTGGAGGCTCACCCAAATCCCGACGCTGGAGGTCACTAAACAGGTCACACTGCGATTGCTGTCTTGCCCAACCAGGAATGTGTGCTGCGGAGGAGAGCAGAGAAACCCGGCTGATGATTTCTTACGAAGATACTCGTGTCACTTACTCCTCAAATGTATGACTGTTTGCTTAATGACTGGTTGAAATTATGAGTGAGTGAGTTCAGGTGGTCCTTGTCTTACAACAGTTTGTTTAGTGTGTGTTCAAAGTTACAACGGCACTGGGAAAAGTGACTTTGGATAACTTTTCACACTTATGACCACTTTCTATGGTTGCATGATCAAAATTCAGATACTTGGCAACTGAGCTGACTCATATTTATGACGGTTGCAGAGTCCCGGGGTCATGTGTATCCTCCTTTTGTGACCTTCCGACGAGCAAAGTTATTGGGGAGGCCAGATTCCCTTAACAGCCGTGTTACTAACTTGAGAAGGGAAGGGAAGGGAAGAGAAGAGAGAATACAAAATAATAGAATACAAAATAGTAGAACAGAATAGAAATAAAAAGAATAGAATGGAATATAGAATAAAAAATAATAGAATAGGAATAGAATAAAAGAGACGAGAAGACAGAATACAAAATAGTAGAATAGAATAGAATAAGGAATAGAATAAAATAGAATAGAATATGAATTAGGAATAGAATAGAATAGAATAGAATAGAGTAGAGTAGAGTAGAGTTGAATAGAATAGAATAGAATAGAATAGAATAGAATAGAATAGAATAGAATAGAATAGAATAGAATAGAATAATAACTTTATGGTCACTTTGAACGTCCACTAATCAGCATACATTAAAGTGAAATTTTGTTGCATACAGCTCTCAAAGGGTCTCCACCTCCAATATACACTACATGATTATGGCAGAATAAATAAATCAAATAAATAAATAAATAAATAAATATGCATATACCCACATATCCACATACCCTGTTTCCCCCAAAATCAGACCTCCCCTGATAATAAGCCCAATCAGACTTTTGAGTGCATGGCAATAAGGCCAAGCGCTTATTTCAGGGTTCAAAAAAAAAGTATGACAGGGTCTTGTTTTCAGGGAAACATGGTATATTATATGACACAGAGAGAAACAAATCTTGCGAGCTAACCAGAAGGGCGGCATAGGGAATAAAGCTATTATAGAATCTGGTAGTCCTGCTAGAAATATTCCGAAACCTCCTCCCAGAGGGGGAGCAACAGAAACAGACTGTGAAGTGGGTGTGTGGGGTCTCTAACAGTGCTAACAAAGCACGTAGCGCTTATATGCAGCATCCTGAATGACGGGAAGCGAACTTCCTATAATCTTCTCCATTGTCCTCCCCACTCTCTGTAGGGACTTTCTATCTGAGGCTCTGCTGCCACCAAACCAAACAGGGATGCAGTTTGTTAAAACGCTCTCCACTGTGCTTCTGTAAAAAGTGGCCGGGACAGAAGGAGAAAGAGGTGCTCTTAACGACTGCAGTGATTCTCTGTGGCAAGGAAGGTCATAAAATGGGACAAAACTCAATTAACAACTGTCTTGCTTAACAACTGAGATTTTGGGCTCAACTGTGATTGTAGGTCAAGGACTACCTACGAAGGTTTCTCTCTGCAGGCCTTTGCTTGTTGGGTTTCACACCTGCAGACTGAGAGGTACCACCCTTGTTTTATTTCTCCTCCCAACAACTTTCACCAAGAGACCAACCATCTTGACTCAAACGTTCCAACAGAAAGATCCCTCTTGCTCAAAAACCTCATGATTTCCACTTGTGTGTGTTATTTTAGAGGCCCAAAGTCAGCTATGGGCTTGAGGTCTCCAACCCCACCATCAATGATCTCCTGGTTCTCCAAGATCCCTTGCAAAACACAGAGGAATCTGGTGGCGGTTGGAACCTCTGGAGATGTTGCTGTCAGCACTTCAAGCTGCATTTACTCTAGTGCTGACATAAAAAGGAGGAGCAGAGGCATCTGGAAAGGGACGTTTGACTTTTCACCTACTTATTTTCCCTGGAGATAATATTCCCTAGGAGATGGGATGGGAGGAGGGAAATTCCTTTGAGTTGGAGCAGTAGATTAGGGGTAGAGTGACTTGGAAGATAGCCAATGAGTGCAGGGAAGTGGGGAACAGAAAGGGAGGGTTTTGGGTCTGGAAGTCAGTGTTGGCTACGATGAGTCGGGCTTTGAATGTCGTGCTTAATAACTGGGAGTTTTCTTCAAAGACTTTGTTTGAAATGCAATTTATTTGAGGCGACCTCGAAACTTGACAGTTGCCTTCAGAAGCTGGTGGAGCTAGAATTGACCCCTTCTTACCTCCTGAAGCAGCGTAGAAGTCTTGAGGATAACGATTCGGTTCTGGCATCCACACCACAGCTTCCCTCCCACGGCTACCATCTTGGTTACGGGGTTGCCCGGAGAGCCCAACAAGAGAGATTTGGAGTTCTGAGAGTCCCAAAAACGTCCTGGAAGAGAAGAAAGAAGATAGGCAACCTGCGTTTCGCTTCTGAACGGAAGACGCCTCACTATATGGAGGATGGGGTTGCAGGAGAAGAAGTGGCAGAACCTGGAGGCGGAGTCAAAAGGGCGATCAGCCTAGAATAATAGCAGTAGCTGTGAAAGGGATCTTGGAGTCTTAGTGGACAACCAGTTAAATATGAGCCAGCTGTGTGTGGCAGCAGCCAAAAAAGCCACTGCAATCCTAAATTACATTAACAGAGGGATACAATCAAAGATCAAGGCAGGTACTAATACCACTATATAAAGCCTTAGTAAGGCCACACCTAGAGTCCTGCATCCAGTTTTGGTCCCCACACTATAAAAAAGATGTGGAGACTCTAGAAAGAGTGCAGAGAAGAGCAACCAGGATGATGAGGAGACTGGAGGCTAAAACATACGATGAACGGTTGCAGGAACTGGGCATGGCTAGTCTAGGGAAGAGAAGGACCAGGGGAGACAGGAGAGCATCTTCCAATATTTGAGGGGCTGCCACAGAGAGGAGGAAGGGGGTCAAGCTATTCTCCGAAGCCCCCGAAGGCCAGACAAAGAATAATGGATGGAAACTGATCAAGGAGAGATTCAACCTGGAAATAAGAAGAAATTTCCTGACAGTGAGAACAATCAACCGATGGAAGAGAAGTTGCCTTCGGAAGTTGTGGGAGCTTCATCCCTGGAGGCTTTCAAGAAGAGACTGGACTGCCATCTGTCAGAAATGGTGTAGGGTTTCCTGCTTGGGCAGGGGGTTGGACTAGATGACCTACAAGGTCCCTCCCAACTCTGTTAATCCCTACATAGCCATCCAACCTCCCTTGAATTCAGTCGTCCCTTAGCTAACTCCTAGTGGGTGCTAACTCTTAGTTGAGAGCATTCCTTTGTGCATAGCCTTTATAGCAATGAATCAGTGTACAGCTAGTCCTTGACTTACACCCATCATACAGTCCGAACTGGGAGCATTTCAGCTCTGGTCCCCAGGTTTGTGGGATTGCAAGCCCCAACGTTCTCAACCCATCCAGAACAGGAAAGCAGAAGTGGCCAGTGCTTTGCTGGATGGGGATGATGGAAGGTGTAGTTCAGCCAAGTGTGGGAGAAGGAGGAGAAAATTGTCCTCGGGCCCTTTTTTTGAGCCAAAAAACGATGGAAGGCAAGGTAGAATAGAATAGAATAGAATAGAATAGAATAGAATAGAATAAGATAAGAATAGAGAATAGAATAGAATAGAATAGAATAGATGAATAGAGAATAGAAATATAAGAATAGAAGAAGAAATAAGAAATAGAGAATAGAATAGATAGAATAGAATATAATAGAATAGAAATAGAAGAAGAATGTAGAATAGATAGAATAGAATAGAATAAGAGAATAGAATAGAATAGAATAGAATAGAATAGAGAGAATAGAATAGAAGATGGAATAGAGAATAGAGAAATAACAGAACTCAGAAGAGAAATCAGAAGAATAAGAAATAGAATAGAATAAATAGAATAGATAAAGAATAGAATGAATTGAATATATAGAATAGAATAGATCAGAATTAGAATAGTAATAGAGGACACTGACAGGGTTGGAAGGGACCTTGGAGGTCTTCTAGTCCAACCCCCAGCTTAGGCTGGAAACTCTACACCACTTCAGGTTATCTAACATCTCCTTAAAAACTTTCCAGTGTTGGAATTACGTGACCTTACGTGGCAGGTTTATGATATTCAGATATTTTACCTGCTTCCCTCTGATAGGCGACCAGTTCTCCGTTGGCCAGAGACACAAACACCTGGTTATCCAGATACCTGTAGAATGACAATAACGATTTATCAAACTGAAAGGCTGCCCAACTTCCAATGGACGTTTCACTTTTCCCCATGCCGTTTCACCTTTATTTCTCTAAAATAAATTACAATAATATTGAGGGTTGGGGAAAGAAATCGCACACGTTACGTCGGATAAATCTGGGCCTCTTGGAAACCCATTCACACATGATATGATTGTGGCCAGAAAGAGCAGTAAAAAAGAGAATTCATCTCGGTTTAATGCTAAGCTTGGGGTCTGTTCTCCCAAATACATTCTTAAATGCTTATTATTCACTGATCAGTTCTAATTCATTCCCACAACTGAGATTGCAAAGTTTTAGGGAAAAAAACCATAGACTCCTAGGATAGACCTTGGTGGTCATAGTATCATAGACTCCTAGGGCTGGAAAGAACCTTGGAGGTCACAGAAGCATAGACTCCTAGGGTGGGAAGGAACCTTGGAGGTCATAGTATCATAGATTCCTAGGGTTGGAAGGGACCTTGGAGGTCATAGAATCATAGATTCCTAGGGTTGGAAGGGACCTTGGAGGTCATAGAATCATAGATTCCTAGGGTTGGAAGGGACCTTGGAGATCACAGTATCATAGATTCCTAGGGTTGGAAGGGACCTTGGAGGTTACAGAATCATAGATTCCTAGGGTTGGAAGGGACCTTGGAGGTCATAGAATCATAGATTCCTAGGGTGGGAAGGTACCTTGGAGGTCATAGTATCATAGATTCTTAGGGTGGGAAGTGACTTTAGGGCAGGGGTCTCCAACCTTGGCAACTTTAAGCCTGGCGGACTTCAAGTCCCAGAATTCCCCAGAAGGTTGGAGACCCCTGCTTTAGGGGGGGGTCACAGTATAATAGACTCCCAGGGCTGGAAGGAACCATGGAAGTCAAAATCATAGACTCTTAAAAGTGGGAACGGACCTTGGAGGCCACAGAATCATAGACTTCTAGTGTTGGATGGGACTTTGGAGGTCTTCTAGCCCAACCAAGTTAGGAATCCTCAAACCGTCCAATCTTGGCTTGAGATCCTCCTGGAATGGAATCCCGTGAATGCCAAGAGGACAGCCTGTTCATGGTTTATGGGAAGGGGAAATCATTCAAGTCATGTAGTAGCCTATCCTTTCCTTCCTTTCCTCCCCCAGACACAATCCTGATTGCTTGTCCCATGTTCAAAACTTCTAAACTCTCCATCCTTCACTAAATATTGGATTTGGTATATAAATCAAATCAAAAATCCAAAAAATCTCTCAGTCTTTACGCTTTTCTATTCGTTTCTTTACCATGTGTAGCAAAATAAAAAAAAAAATTCTTAAACCACACAGAATATAAACCAGTCCAGTGTAGTGGCATATGGGTATTATGGTCAGCGCGCCAGGGGTGAAATGCTCCTGGTTTGGACCAGATCACCTGATCCAGCGTAGCGGCAGGGGGTGTTCGGAGAACCGGTAGCAAAAATCCCTGCCTCCCCCCCCATTGCCCAGCTGAGCCACGCGATCATCAGAGGCTTTTTTTTAATTTTTAAAAGCATTTTTTCTACAACCTCTTTGGCCGAAAAAATGCTTTTAAAAGTAAAAAAAAAAAAGCCTCTGATGATTGCACGGCTCAGCTGGGATCGTCAGAGGCTTTTAAAAGCATTTTTTTCTGCAACCTCTTCGGCGAGAGAGGTTGTAGAAAAAATGGTTTTAAAAGGAAAAAAAGCCTCTGCCAATCGGGAAGTAAGCTGGGATTGTCAGAGGCTTTTAAAAGCATTTTTTCTACAACCTCTTTGGCTCAAGAGGTTGTAGAAAAAAATGTTTTTAAAAGGAAAAAAAGCCTCTGCCGATCAGGCAAGTCAGCTGGGATCGTCAGAGACTTTTAAAAGTAAAAAAAAAAAAAACAGTTGGCCCACTCAGTCATATTACACCCCCCCCCCAATCAAGCCACGTCCACAGAACCGGTAGTAACGAATTTTACATTTCACCCCTGCAGCGCGCCCTACATGTCCTTTGACACTTACAAAATGCATGTCACGGAGGCCGTGTGTTGCATCTTCAGGCTGTTCTTCCTGTTGCGGATGTTGTCCGAAGACTGATAGACGTGGATGCTGCAATCCAAAGAGAAGAGACGTGAGGTCTGGAGATGGAGCAACACAAGGGAAAGGGGTATTGTGTTGACGTGACAAAGTTGGTTGATGAAAAAGCTGCCCTAGATTTGGGGGAGTTCCTTGGTGCTCTCTGAGCTGGGTTGTTGTTGTTTTTTTTTGTATTGAATTTGTATACCGGCCTACTCCCGAAAGACTCAGGGCGGTGAACAGCCATAGAATAAAACATATAAATACAAAATTTAAAATAAAGTAAAACGAATTAAATCATTTGGCTGAAAAAAATTTAAAACCCCAATAATTTAAAACCAGATTTAAAATTTCCATTTAAAAGGGGAAAGACTTAGGTCAGGCCGGCTTGATGAAATAGGAAGGTCTTGAGCGCGCGGCGGAAGGTCCGTAGATCCGGGATCCTCCGTATCTCCGGAGGGAGCTCGTTCCAGATCGTAGGTGCCCCCACAGAGAAGACTCTCCCCCTGGGGGCCACCAGTCGACATTGTTTGGCCGACGGCACCCGGAGGAGCCCCTCTCTATGGGAGCGTACCGGCCGGTGGGAGGCTATTGGTGGTAGCAGGCGGTCCCGCAAGTACCCAGGTCCTAAACCATGGAGCGCTCTAAAGGTGGTAACCAAAACCTTGAAGCGCACCCAGAAGACCACCGGGAGCCAGTGCAGCTCGCGCAGGAGGTGTTACATGGGAGCGCCACGTCTCTCCCATTACCACCTGCGTGGCCGCACTCTGTGCCAGTTGGAGCCTCCGGGTGCTCCTCAAGGGGAGCCCCATGTAGAGAGCGTTACAGTAGTCCAGACGGGAGGTGACGAGGGCATGAGTGACCGTGCGTAGGGAGTCCCGATCTAGAAAGGGACGCAACTGGCGGATCAGGCGAACCTGATGAAAAATCCTCCCGGTCACAGCCGTCAAATGCTCTTCTAAAGACAGCCGTGAATCCAGGAGGACGCCCAAGTTACGAGCCCTTTCCGTGGGGGCCAATGATTCGCCCCCACGGAAGCCATTTTCTTGAAGCCGTTTCATGACCCAACTAGGGAACATCATCAGTGCTAGAAGAGAAGGGGCTTTGGGAGGAGGAGGAGGAGGAGGAGGAGGAGGAGGAGGAGGAGGAGGAGGAGAATGACTGTGGGGTTCTTGGTGCTGTCTGAGCTTGGCTGTTTTTCTGCAGACGTTTCATTACCCAACTAGGTAATACCATCAATGCAAGAAGAGAGTGGGATTTGCTCTCATTTTACATACTAGTGACTTGCCCTGTTGGCATTGGTGGCCGTGTTCCTGGTGGTTACGCTGCTGTTTACAAGATCACTCCCACCAACACTGACAGGGCAAACCTCACTAAACGGACAGCAAACCTCACTCCCTTCCAGCACTGGTGATGTTATATAGTTGGGTCATGAAACGTCTTCATGGAAACTTCCAAACTCAGAGACCACCCAGGACCTCAACTCCGAGCTGCCAATATTCTCTTCCACCAACATCATTCCCCCAGAGTTAGCTAAATGATTTCCCGCTGGCTCCCAAGCGATGAAACAGATCCTTGAATTTAAGGGCTCTTTGAGCCTGCGGTGACCTCACAGCAGCCCAGCCAATGGGGAAGAGCCGTGGTGGCGCAGTGGTTAGAGTGCGGTACTGCAGGCTACTTCTGCTGACTGCCGGCTGCCTGCAATTTGGCAGTTCGAATCCCACCAGGCTCTAGGTTGACTCAGCCTTCCGTCCTTCCGTGGTGAGTAAAATGAGGATCCGGATTGTTGGGGGCAATAGGCTGGCTCTGTCAACCGCTGAGAGAGGGCTGGAAAGCACTGGGAAGCGGTATATAAGTGCTATTGCTAGTCCTTCCTTCTTCCCTCCCTCTTCCCTTCCATCCTTCCCTCCCTCCATCCCTTCCTTCCTTCTTTCCTTGCTTCTTCTCTTATTCCCTTTCTCATTCTCATTCCTGGTGGCACAGTGGTTAAGAGTGCAGCATTGTAGGCTAATTCTGCCCACTGCCAGCAGTTCGATCCTGACCGGCTCAAGGTTGACTCAGCCTTCCATCCTTCCGAGGTGGGTAAAATGAGGAGCCAGATTGTTGGGGGGCAAGAGGCTGACTCTATAAACCGCTTAGAGAGGGCTGGAAAGCATTGTGAAGCGGTATATAAGTCTAAGCGCTATTGCTATTGTCCTTCCTTCCCTCCTTCCTTCTTTCCTTCCTTCCTTCCTTCCTTCCATGGTGGCGCAGTGGTTGAGAATGCAGTATTGCAGGCTAATTCACTGCTCACTGCCAGCATTTCGATCGTGACTGGCTCCAGGTTGACTCAGCCTTCCGTCCTTCCAAGGTTTGTCAAACGAGGACCCAGATTGTTGGGGGGCAAGAGGCTGACTCTGTAAACCGCTTAGAGAGAGCTGGAAAGCATTGTGAAGCGGTATATAAGTCTAAGGGCTATTGCTATTGTCTTTCCTTCCTTCCTTCCTTCCTTCCTTCCTTCCTTCCTTCCTTCCTTCCTTCCCTTTTTCCTTTCCTTTCCTTCTTTCCTTTCCTTTCCTTTCCTTTCCTTCCCTTCCCTTTCCTTCCCTTCCCTTCCTTCCCTTCCCTTTCCTTCCCTTCCCTTCCCTTCCCTTCCTTCCATGGTGGCGCAGTGGTTGAGAATGCAGTATTGCAGGCTAATTCACTGCTCACTGCCAGCATTTCGATCGTGACTGGCTCCAGGTTGACTCAGTCTTCCGTCCTTCCAAGGTTTGTAAAACGAAGACCCAGATTGTTGGGGGGCAAGAGGCTGACTCTGTAAACCGCTTAGAGAGGGCTGGAAAGCACCGTGAAGCGGTATATAAGTCTAAGCGCTATTGCTATGCTGCAGAGAGCCCTCTTCCCAATTTGGACCCCAAGGGAAAACTCTTCTTCTGGGGTCGCCCTGGAGAGATTCCATGATGGCAGAGTCTCCTTACCAACCATCCTCCGTGCCCAGCCACATGGAACTTTGATAGGCCTCCGGATCCACGCTCAGCAGATCTTCCAAGCTGGCCCTGGTGAAGGATCCTTGACTGGAGCGTCTCATAGCTCGGCCATCCATGGGGCTTTCGACGATCTGGTTCTGGCCAAAGGGGCGACCGATCGGAAGGAAGCCGCTGGGATCCTGCTCCTCTTCCGAGCTGGTGGTCTCCACCGTCACGTCTTTGGAGCTGGGGATCTCCTCATCTGGCGAAGAAAATAGGACAGTAAAGTACAGACAGTCCTTGAATTAGGACCACAATGGAGCCAATATTTTTTTTTTGTTACTAAGCAGTTGTTAAGAGTGGTGCGATGGCCTGGAGGTGGAGCCCTCGCCACACAATCAGGTGTCAGCACTTCAAGCTGCATTTACTCTAGTGCTGACATAAGAAGGAGAGGCGGAGGCGTCTGGAAAGGGACGTTTGACTTTTCACCTACTTCTTTTCCCTGGAGATAATATCCCCTAGGAGATGGGATGGGAGGGGGGAAATTCCTTTGAGCTGGAGCAGTAGATTAGAGGTAGAGTGACTTGGAAGATGGCCAATGAGTGCAGGGGAGTGGGGAACGGAAAGGGAGGGTTTTGGGTCTGGAAGTCAGTGTTGGCTTCGATGGAGTCGGAGCTAGAATGTCGTGCTTAATAAAATGGGGGTTTTTCATCAAAGACTTTGTTTGAAATGCAATTTATTTGAGACGACCTCAAAACCTGACATCAGGAGGCTGTGAGTTCGAGCCTAGGTAGCAGCAGATATTTCTCTCTCTGGGGACAATGAGTATATATCTGCTGGACAAAACTCCGCACTGGCGACAGGAATGGCATCCGGCCAGTAAACACTCAGCTCCATTCAGTTACCCAGACTCCATACCACAAGGGATTATGGGGTCATTAAAAGAGGATGATAATGAAGCAACACAGTTGCTAAGTGAATTTCCCCCTATTTTACGAACGTTCTTGCCACCGTTGTTAAGTGAATCACGGCGGTTGTTAAATTAGTCGCACGGTCGTTAATTGAATCTGGCTCCCCCCATTGACTTTGCTCGTCAGAAGGTCAGAAAAGGCGATCACATGACACTGCGACCGTCCTAAATATGAGTCAGTTGCCAAGCGTCCAAATTTTGATCACATGACCATGGTCGCAAGTGTGAAAAACAATCCTTTTTTGAGTTCCGTTGTAGTTTTGAACGGTCCCTAAAGCTTACTGTGGTTGGCAGAATGCCCAGAAGCAATTTGCAGGAAGCTGATAAGATAAGCAAGACAAGACACGAAGGTATGTGAACGAAGTTGTTCCCTGTAAATTGCTTCAGTTGGCGTTCCTCCTTAAATAGGCTAAGGGAGTGGCCAATTAGCCCCAAGCCTTACTCTCGAGGAGACCTCCTCCTGAGGAGCCACTCCTGCCTTTTGGCAGCTCTGCGCGCCTGTGCATCGAGAAGAGGCTCCTCCTCTTTGTCCTCTTCACTTAAAGGAGCTTCTGGAGGTTCTGGAGGCCCTGGCTGAATCCCCACCTCTGGCACCGCATCTTCTCCAGCCTCCTCACTGTCCGACTCGAGTGCCAGCTGCACAGGCTGCTGGCGCAGCACCACACCAGCCTCCTCGCTGTCGGAATCAGCTACTAGCTGCACAGGCCGCGTACGGGCCACAACAGTGAGTTATTGTCAATGGTTTAGAACCAGAGGTGGAACTGGTAGCGGAGATCGCGGCTGGCCCCACCCACTTACACCCTCCCCCGCCTCTATGCTGACCTATTTAGGCGCGGTTTTGAGGCTGGGTGCGTGCACGGAAGACATGCGTGCGAACAAAGTGTATGGGCAGAAGCAACAAAATATGAAACCCACCGCTGCTTAGAGCCCCTTTCCCAAATCCAGAATTCTTTCTTGAACTTCCAAAAATCACAGCTTTGCACACCCCTCTAGCACAGCGATGGCTAACCTTTTCAGCACCGAGTGCGCACGCCCCCACACATGCATGTGTGGCCCCATGTGCATGCATGCGCAACCGATCGCATACATGCGCCATATACACATGAGCGCTCAACATATACGCCCCGCCCCCCACGCACGCATGTGTTTCCCGCATGCACGGCAGACACCTGAAAACCAGCTGGCTGGCGGGAGGCGCGGTGCACACACGCGGTGCAGCTGAGCCGGGGCGACAGCTCGCGTGCCCAGAGAGAGGACTCTGCATGCCACCTGTGGCACGCGTGTCATAGATTCGCCATCATGTGTTGTGGCCCGCCAGCGGCCTGCACGGATTGTGGCTGATCCCGACGACGAGGAGGCTGGTGTGGTGTCGCACCAGCAGCCTGTGCAGCCGGCGCTTGAGTCAGACAGCGAGGAGGCTGGAGAAGATGTGGTGCCAGAGGCAGAGACTCAGCCAGGGCCTTCAGAACCTCCAGAGGCTCCTTCAAGTGAAGAGAGTGAAGAGGAGGAGCCTCTTCTCAATGCTCGAGCACGCAGGGCTGCCAAAAGGCAGGAGTGGCTCCTCAGGAGGAGGTCTCCTCGAGTATAAAGCTTGGGGCTAATTGGCCACTCCCTTCGCCTATTTAAGGAGGAACGCCGACTGAAGCAATTTGCAGGGAACAACTTCGTTCACATTCCTTCGTGTCTTGTCTTGCTTATCTTATCAGCTCTCACTCCCTTAGCCTATTTAAATTCGCTCACAGATAGCACCCGCTGCTGGAAAGAGCGTTGAATTACTACGCAGAGCATTTTGAGAGTGAGTTTCTTGTACATCTTGGTTTCTGGGCTGGTTACCAACCCTTGTCGGACTTTGTTTATTCTCTGTAATTCATAGCAGGCTGATAAGGACATTTGCACCGGAAGCTTGCATTTTGGAAAGGGTCTGTTTGTATTAAAAGGAGTTTTTGGAGCTTTGTGGGTGTCACACTCCTTGGGATCCGGAGCTGGGGCAGAACATCATGGCTGTAGCAGGAATATTGGAGAAGTTAGTTAGTTAGTTAGTTTAGTTAGTTTATTGGATTTATATACCGCCCTACTCCCGAAGGACTCAGGGCGGTGAACAGCCACAGAATAAAACACATAAATACAAAAATTTAAAATAGAATAAAAACGAATTAAATAATTTGGCTGAGACAAATTTAAAATACCCAATAATTTAAAAACAAATTAAAATTTACATTTAAAAAGGGAAAAGATTTAGGCCAGGTCAGCTTGATGAAATAAGAAAGTCTTAAGCGCGCGCAGATCCGGGATCCTCCGGGAAGCAAACACCAGCTTGGGAAAACGACTTTATAGCTAAACAGGAAATTATGCCTGGAGATTTTTTATTTAAAAAAACGTGCTGCTATTTTTAAACGGCTGCTAGAATAAATGGCTTTATTCTGTTTTTCAAATGAATGGACTGCCCCTTTTAATAATACACGCACGCACAGAGGAGGGAGCACGGTTATTTGAGATGATGGTTTATTCCAGTGCATTGTTTTATTAACAGGATATCACATTGCACCATCTTGACAGCGTTAATATAAACAATAACAGACCCTCCGATAACAAAAGGTCTCATTTTGGGCAGAATATGTCGTATTATTCCGTCTCAGTTCTAACAACGCGGCTATTCTCGAAAGTGGATAAACAAGGACGGCTTCCAAGGAGTGAAAATATTTGGACATTTTGCTAGGTAATAAAAGGCCTGTTTCTTAGGAAACTGAATTTGTTTGTTGCTCAAATGCTTCCATGCTGCTTTAACTTAAAGTACTTTCTAGGGGAGGGGAAAAAAAAAAGCTGGACTTTTTAAAATGTTGATTAAAGCAACGAAGCCTCGGTTGATGGAAACGGGCTTAAAAACAACAACTCCGTGTGTGTTTTTGTGTATGTGTGTGTTGAATGGGACTTTTGCAGTACGGATAGGCCTCAACGTACAACCACAATTGAGCCCAACACTTTGACCCGTTTTACGACCTTCGTTGCCAAGGTTGTTAAGTGAATCACTGCAGTTGTTAAATGAGTGACACGGTGGTAAAGTGAATCTGGGTTCCCCGTTGACTTTAAGTTTAAGTTTAATGCGATTAATATGCCGTCCTATCTCCAATGGACTCAGGGCGGCTCACAACAATAAAATGCACAATTGCACAGTAAAACAATATGAAATTAAAGTCCAAATTAAAACAGTTTAAAATCCATTTAAAACTTTTAAGAAACTTTGCTTGTCGGGAGGTCGCAAAAGGGAATCACGTGACCCCGAGACACTGCAACTGTCATAAATATGAGTCAGTTGCCAAGCCTTTGAATTTTTGATCATGTGACCATGTGGGGGCGGCTGCAACAGTTGTTAAGTGTGAAAACTGGCCCTAAGTCACTTTTTTCAGTGCCGTTGTAACTTCAAACGGTCACTAAATGAACCGTTGTAAGTTGAGGACTATCTTTATCGGGCTTCCTGCCTGAGCAGGGGGTTGGACTAGAAGACCTCCAAGGCCCCTTCCAACTCTTGTTATTCTTTTATCCTGACTTCCGCTCCCAGAATTCCCCAGGTGGCCAGGGAATTCTGGGAGTTGAAGTCCACTTGTTTTAAAATTGCCCAGGTTGAGAAAAAACAGTCGTTAAGTCTGAAAACCGCTCATAAATCAAGTTTTTTTTCCACTACCATCGTAACTTTGAATAGTCACTAAACGAACTGTTGTAAGTCGAGAACTATCTGTACAGGTCACTCTCTCCTCTTTTTCTAGAAACGGAGAAGAACTCACTTGTAAAACTGGAGACGGTGGAATGGCTCTGAAGAGTACCGGAAGGACTTGGCGAAGACTCGTCGTCGGTATCATCGCTGTCAAACGGGACGAGTTCCCGGCCGGTGGTGTCCATTGGCTCCGAGATCTCCAGAGAAGAACCGGAAATGGAGATGTGCAAACAGGGTTGAGGTACTGTCTCATCCAGGGTGGGATTTGCCGGCTCCGAAGCTGGGCTGGCAGAGAGACTGGACGCTCCCTGGGAGAAGAAGAATGCATTGCAAAGAGAAAGTAAGTGACATTGTTACATGTACTTCTAGTGTCAGTCCTGCCCCGGTCTGATCCCTTCGGAAAGAAAGACCCTCGACTCCATTTGGTTGAAACGATCAGTTCTTTTACTAAAAGATGCTGGCTGCAGGAAAATCAGGCCAGAACTGAATTGGAAAAAATACAGAAAGTTTCCCCACGTCCCAGGCCTCCCATAGGCCATGACCAATCCGTCTTCAGCCAATGGGAATTCGCCTAAGTGTTTTGAGAATGCTGAGACGTTTGTTGCAATTCACATTCTTCCTCAGGGTACATGGCCTTGGCTGCTGGCACAAACTGGTTCCGAGCTCTTCTGCTCTTCATCTAGCGGTCATTCCACCCCCCCTAATTTCCCATCACGTACACATGCAGGTTTATTGCCCATCTGCTCCTCCTAATGTCCCCCACCTCCACCCCTAACATTTGATGGCAGGATGCCAAGCCGAAGATGGCAAACCTGGCATCTAGCTTTAATTTGTTTTTGGGTCCAATTCAAGGCGTTAGTGGTCAGCATCAAAGACTTCCGTGGCCTGGGGCTAAACTAAGTCAACCCAGATGTAGGCTGCGTCAACAGAGGGAGGGAATCACGATCATGTGAAGTGTTACTACTGCTTTATAAGGCCTTAGTAAGGCCACACTTGGAATCCTGCATCCAGTTTTGGTCCCCACAATATACAAAAGCTGTGGAGACTCTGGAAAGAGTGCAGAGAAGAGCAACAAAGAGGATGAGGGGACTGGAGGCTAAAACATATGAAGAATGGTTGCAGGAACTGGGTATGTCTAGTTTAATGAAGAGAAGGACCGGGGGAGACAGGAGAGCAGCCTTCCAATATCTCAGGGGCTGCCACAAAGAAGAGGGAGTCAAACTATTCTCCAAAGCACCTGAGGGCAGGACAAGAAGCAATAGGTGGAAACTCATCAAAGAGAGAAGCAACTTAGAACTAAGGAAAAATTTCCTGACAGTTACAACAATTAAAAGTGGAACAACTTGCCTGCAGAAGTTGTGAATGCTTCAACACTGGAAGTTTTTAAGAAGATGTTGGGTAACCACATGTCTGAAGTGGTATAGGGTTTCTGCCTAAGCAAGGGGTTGGACTAGAAGACCTCCAAGGTCCCTACCAACTCTGATTCCCTCTCCTCTCCTCTCCCCTCTCCTCCTTTCTTTCCTTTTCTCCTCTCCTCCTTTCCTCCTTTTCCTCCTCTCCTCCTTCTCTCTCTCTTCTCTCTCCTTTCCTCCTCCTGTCCTCTCCTCCTTTCCTTCCTTTTTTCCTCCTCACCTCTCCTCTCCTCCTTTCCTCCTCCTCTCCTCTTCTCCTCTCCTCCTTTCCTTTCCTCCTCTGTCCTCTCCTCCTTTCCTCCCTTTTTTCCTTTTCTCCTCTCCTCCTCCCTCTCCTTTCTTTTCCTCTCTGTCCTCTCCTCCTTCCTTCTTTTTCTCCTCCTCCTCCTTTTTTTCCTCTCTCTCTTCTTTTCCTCTCCTCTCCTCTTTTTCCTTCCTTTTTTCCTCCTCTCCTCTCCTCCTTTCCTCTCCTCCTTCCTCTTCTCCTCCTTTCTTTTCCTCCTCTCTCCTCCTCCCTTTTTTCCTCCTCTCCTCTCCTCCTTTTTCCTCCTCCTCCTCTCCTTTTTCCTCTCCTCCTCTCTCCTTTTCCTTCTTTTTTCTCTCTCCTCCTCCCTTTTTTCCTCTCTCCTCTTTCCTTTTCCTCTCCTCTCCTTTTTCCTTCCTTTTTTCTTCTTCTCCTCTTTCCTTCTCCTCTCCTTCCTCCTTTCTTCCTCCTCTCCTCTCTTTCCTTTCCTTTCTTCCTCCTGTCTCCTCCTCCCTTTTTTCCTCCTCTCCTCTCTTTCCTTTTCCTCTCTCTTTTTCCTTCCTTTTTTCCTCCTCTCCTCTCCTCTCTTTCCTTCTCCTCTCCTCTCCATAAAAACATAGCCCATATAATTTTTCTGAATGAATGAATAAATGAAGCAAAAGACCAGAGCTATCAAAGTCCTGGCCCATGGCCCGGATCCATCATGTGCTGGCCATGCCCACACCCAGTTTAATGAAGGGGGGGGGAGTCCCAATATGTCACGTGATGCTGCCATGACGGCGTGAGTTGGACACCCCTGCCACAGACCAATCCTTCCTTCTGCAGCAGAGACCCTCTAGAGACTCCCAAGCAGAGCCCACCTCAAGCACCGCCAGAGGTCGAGGGGGGCTGGCAGAGGCCTCCTACCTGTAGGTCCTCTTGAGACCCGGCACGGAGGCGATGCACAGGATCCGGGCGGAGCAGACGGCGATGCAGGCTTCCACGATGGGCTCCTTCTTGATGCTCAGCAGGCAAACCTGGCCCACGTAACCGTCGCTGTTGCAGACCCAGACCTCGTAGGCATTCTCCGGGTTGCTGTGGCTGGGGGAGGCGCAGGAGAACTGGGGAGAGGGAGGCAAAACAAGTCGCCCCTTAAGATCTTCATTGGGAAGATGCAGGGCAAAAGAGGGGAGGGGGGGTCTTGCTCCTCAGGCTTTCCTGCCCCGTACTGTGGGTTTAAGCTGGAGTTTCTCAACCACAGGAACTGGGAGATGTTCTGGGACTTCAATTCCCAGAATTCCCCCAGGCAGCAATTGAATTCTGGGAGTTGAAGTCCATCGATCTATTGTTCTAACCCGTATTTCTCAACCTCAGCAACGGGTGGACTCAGGGGTGGGCGTCAAAAATTTTAGCAAGGGGTTCTCCGCCTGGTTGCTGGGTGGGCATGGCCATGGTGGGTGTGGCCTAGTCAGCCTCCTACACCACAGCGGCGGGGGGGGGGAGTTCGTTTTTTGCCCTCCCCAGGCTCCTGAGTCTTTCCTTTTTTTTTTTTTTATTTGATTTATATGCCGCCCTTCTCCGGAGACTCAGGGCGGCTTACAAGGCGTTAAGCAATAGCCTTCCTACTTTTGTATATTTTATACAAAGTCAGCTTATTGCCCCCCACAAACTGGGTCCTCAATTTACCTACCTTAGAAAGGATGGAAGGCTGAGTCAACTTTGAGCCTGGTGAGATTCAAACTTACTAATTGCAGACAGCTGGAGTTAAATTACAATGCATTAGTCTGCTGAGCTATCCAGGCTTGAGCCTCTGGGAGGCGAAAATGGCCTCCCCAGGCTCCGGAGGCCCTCTGGAGGCCAGAAACGGGCCCGAACTTCCGGTACATCAATTTTCCGCCCTCCCCAAGCTCTGTGCGCGCCCTGCACTTATCTATATCCAAAACGGGCTGCATGGGGACTCCTGGGAAGGGAGGGGAGGGGTGGGCGGGGCCAGCCAGGAGTAGGATTTGGGGGTTCTCCAAACTGCACAGAATCTTAGCTAGAGGTTCTGCCGAACCCCTGCGAACTCCCAGCAGCCCACCCCTGGATGGACTTCAATTCCCAGAATTCCCCAGCCAGCAATTGAATTCTGGGAGTTGAAGTCTTCCGAGGGATCCAAATTTCTGAAAGTTTAATTTAATACAGGTCAGTCCTCAACTCAACAGCAGTTCATTTAGAGTCCATTCAAAGTCACAAAAACACTGGGGAAAAAAAAATGTGATTTACGACCGTTTTTTCACACTTACGACCATTGCAGCTTCCCCAAGGTCACCTGATTTGAAAATCGTAGGCTTGGCAACTGGCTCGTATTTATGACGGTCGCCGTGTCCTGGGGGTCATGCTTTTGTGACCTTCCAACAAGCAACGAGGAAACCCACTTAACAACCGTGTCACCAACTTAACAACGGTGGTGATTCACTTAATGACTTTCACAAGAAAAGTCATAAGATGGGCAAAACTCAAATGTCTCACTTAGCAACAGAAATGTTGGGGTCGGCTGTGGTCGTAGTCGAGGACTGCCTGTACTTGAACAGCCGGCTCTGAGATTTAGGGAGACAGAACCAAAGTTCGTCAGGAAGCCGCTACATTCTTCAATGGCAGGGCAATTAAATCAAGTGGATTGTATTAAAGGGCCTTTTAAACGCTGGGCAGGCGAAAAGAGTAACTTCGTAGTATACTGCAGAACCTATAAGTAAGCGAGAGAGAAAAAAACAAAACAAAACTTTGGATTGGATTGAGAAACTTTGCACTTACTTGCATCCCACTCCGTGTTTTCATAATGGGAATGGCCTTCAGGAACTCCGGATCAAGACAGTTTTTGTGTAGAAGCTGCATAATGAAACGTAAGACAGATTTTTAATTTTCTAATACGTTTTATAATTTCATTTTTTTTTAAAAAAAAATCAATCTTTCTTTTTTTATCCTGCCTCTATTATTTCTTTATAAATAACTCAAGGGAGCGAAGATACCTAATACTCCTTCTTCCTCCTGTTTTCCCCCAACAACAACAACCCTGTGAGGTAGGTTGGGCCAAGAGAGAGGGACTGGCCCAAAGTCCCTCAGCTGCCTTTCATGCCTAAGGCGGGACTAGAACTCACCGTCTCCTGGTGATTGGCCCAAATTCACCCAGTTGGCTTTCATGCCCAGGACGGAACGGAACTCACTCACTTTCTCCTGGTGATTGGCCCAAAGTCCCTCAGCTGGCTTTCATGCCTAAGGCGGGACTAGAACTCACCGTCTCCTGGTGATTGGCCCAAAGTCCCTCAGCTGGCTTTCATGCCTAAGGCGGGACTAGAACTCACCGTCTCCTGGTGATTGGCCCAAAGTCCCTCAGCTGGCTTTCATGGCCTAAGGCGGGACTAGAACTCACCGTCTCCTGGTGATTGGCCCAAAATCATTCAATTTCATGCCTGAGGCGGGACTAGAACTCACTGTCTCCTGGTGTTTGGCCCAAAGTCACCCAGTCAGTTTTCATGCCTAACGCAGGACTAGAACTCACCGTCTCCTGGAGATTGGCCCAAAGTCACCCAATTGGCTTTCATGCCTAAGGCGGGACTAGAACTCACCTTCACCTGGTTCCTAGCCTGATGCCTTAACCACTACACCAAACTGCCTCTCTGTAATATATTAGAAAACCAGAGTTTCCATGGTCTTTTAGATCACTTGTTCATTTAGTTTACTTTCCTGTATGCATTTTTTTTCTCTTTTCTTCTTTTAACCTGTTTTTAATCTCTCCTTGTTTCTAGTCTTTCTTTAAAGTAAATTAAAATTTAAAGTAAATCAAAAAACCCTAACAAGTTTGTAGCATCGTCTACAATTGAAGAAACCATCATGCCAGGCTTCTCCAACCTGCCTCTTATCCCCGTTCGTAGAAAACCAGCATATCAGGGACCACACGGCAAGACACATTTTCATAGTGAGCTGCTAGCTTTCTACCTGTAAACTATAAACTATAAACTACCTAGCTTCTTCTTGGCGTCCTCGAAACTCTGTTCAAAACTGTGCCGGGCGTCCGGATTGGGAAATTCAAAGATGTGAGAATCGGTGCTGTCAGATTTGGTGACGGTGAGCTCCATTTTGTTGGGAGGGAAGGAGAGACTGAAGGACACGGACTGTTTTTCGGTCAATTCCCGGTGGATGGCGGCCATTAAATCCTTGATGACGTCATCCAGGGTCTGAAGAAGAGAGCAGAGATCAGAAGGAGGGCTGCGGGAATCTCAAAAACCTGCGGGTAATGTGAGTTTTGCGGCGGGAAAAAAACAACAACAACAATCCTGCAAGGTCATTTTTTTCTAGCCATCGAATCCCAGCCTTTTTGCTGGAATATTCAAAAGCTGAATTTATAGTCCTTTTATCATAGGAAGGAAATCAGAAGGGATGGTTTCCAACGGGCTAAACCTGGTACGGGTAGTTTTTGACTTATGACCATTCATTTAATGACGGTTCAAAGATACAACGGTCTAAAAACAGTGACTCAAGACCAATTTTCACGCTTAGGGTGGTTGCAGCCTCCCCATGTTTGTGTGATCAAGATTCAGACGCTTGGCAACTGACTTGTATTTATGACGGTTGCAGCGTCCCGGGGTCACGCGATTTCCTCTTTGGCAACCTTCTGACGAGCAAAGTTAATGGGGAAGCCAGATTCACTTAACAACCACATTACTAATTTAAGAATTGCAGTGATCCGCTTAACAAACGTGGCCAGGAAAAGTCGTAAAACGGGGCAGAACTCACTTTAAGAACTGTCTCGCTTAGCCACAGGGCTCCTCTGTGGTCGTAAGTTGAGGACTACTGAAAATGTTTTTAGGCATGATTTACCGATTCGATTGGACTCTTCGTTTTTGGCCAACCGTCTTTCTTTCTTTCTTTCTCCTTTTTTTCCCCCCCCATTTAAAACTCTCCTTCTCCAACATTTCGATGGGGAGTTTGTCTCACCTGGTGGGGGAAACTGAGGGCCTCGGAGAGTTTGCTGACTTGGCCAAGCGTGCTGAGGTCTTCGTCCAAGCGGCAGATGACCTTCTGGATGCTGTCGCGATTGCTGGACTGACAGCTCCCTGTATGGTACAGGGGAAAAAAATAATAATAATCCATTTAAGGCCTCCCGCTGGGAAGTCCTAAATAGATGGATCAGGTCCTCTATCAGAGAAATGGCTTGGTTGAATGGCCCTTTCCCTAGATTTTGCCTGCAGTCTTGACATGCTGATAGAAGAGAATATCTGTAGCTGAGGGTCCTTTTGGGGTCTCTGAGTTGGGTGGTTTTCTTGAAGACATTTCATGACTCAACTAATAACAAACAAATAATTCCCTCAACGCTGTCGAACTATTCACTAAGTCTGCATTGCTGTTAATCTTCTCATCGTTCCTATCACCCAACTCCTTCCACTTACGGCTGTAGGACTGTAATTTTGTTGCTTGTATCGTTATGATTTATATTGTTTCCTAGTATGATTCAATTGCTTATTTGTACCCTATGACAGTCATTAAGTGTTGTACCTTATGATTCTTGACGGATGTATCTTTTCTTTTATGTACACTGAGAGCTTAAGCACCAGAGACAAATTCCTTGTGTGTCCAATCACACTTGGCCAATAAAGAATTCTCTTTCTTTCTTTCTTTCTTTCTTTCTTGAATCTATTCTCTCTCTCTCTCTCCCCATCCATCCACCCATTTATTCTATCCATCCACCCACCCACCCACCCATCCATCCATCCATCCATCCATCTATCTATCTATCATCTAACTATCATTTATCTTATCTATCTTTCTTTCTATCTATCTTCCATCCTATCTATCTATCTATCATCTATCTATCTATCATTTATCTTATCTATTTATCTATCTATCTTCCATCCTATCTATCATTTATCTTATCTATCTATCTATCTATCTATCTATCTATCTATCTCTTTCTATCTATCTTCCATCCTATCTATCTATCTATCTATCTATCCATCCATCTATCATTTATCTTATCTATCTATCTATCTATCTATCTATCCATCTATCATCATTTATCTTATCTATCTATCTATCTATCATCTATCTATCTATCTTCCATCCTATCTATCTATCATTTATCTTACCTATCTATCTATCTATCATCTATCTATCTTCCATTCTATCCTGTCTGTCTGTCTGTCTGTCTGTCTGTCTGTCTGCACTGGGTGGTTTTCCTGATGACATTTCATTACCCAAGTAGGTAACATCATCAGTGCTAGAAGGGAGAGGGATATTAAAGACGAGGAGGAGGAGGAGGACTGCTGGGGTCCTTGGTGCTCTCTGTGTGTTTAATTGTTTTCTTGTAGACATTTCATGACCCAACTAGGTAACCTCATCAATGCAGAGTGTTGCGTAGTTGTGTAACGAAATGGCCGATGAGTCCTCATCGTGTCAGTTCTGCAGAAGAGATCCACCAATCCTGGTCTGTTTTGTTTTTTTCCCCCCTGCAAGTTGGCCAACCTTGATTTGAGAGAAGGCTCAGCTTCGGATGAAACCTGTTTCCTAAGAACCGCAGCCTTTCCACAAGGGCTTCTGTATCCCTACACAAGCAGCTGCCACAAACCTTTCACAATCTCTACGTCCTCCAGAGGCATCTTCCAAAGCAGTTTGTACTTGCTGGCAGTGTCGATCACACTGGCTGCCGTGTAGCTGGAAAGAAAAAACCCCAGAAAGAAAAAAAATGGAGACTTGAGAACTTGCTGTACAAAAAGCTGACTATTGTTACAGGGAAGAGTTTCCTTTAAAAATCTAATACGGGCCATTCTTCACTTACAACTGTTTAGTGACTGTTTCAAGTTACTGTTCGTAGCCCCAGCTACGGACCCCAAAGAACACAGCACACACAAAGTCCGTTCAAACCTTATTTTACTAAATAAATCAGTCTTTTACAACAACGGCTGTTAATTAACTGCATTAACAGCCACCAAGAATTCAAAGAATAAATCTGAAAGCTTACTGTGGTTGGCAGAATGCCCAGAAGCAATTTGCAGGAAGCTGATAAGGTAAGCAAGACAAGACACGAAGGAGAGTGAACGAAGTTGTTCCCTGCAAATTGCTTCAGTCGGCGTTCCTCCTTAAATAGGCTAAGGGAGTGGCCAATTAGCCCCAAGCCTTACTCTTGAGGAGACCTCCTCCTGAGGAGCCACTCCTGCCTTTTAACAGCTCTGTGCGCCCGTGCATCGAGAAGAGGCTCCTCCTCTTCTTCCTCTTCACGTATGGAAGCTTCTGGAGGTTCTGAAGGCCCTGGCTGAATCCCCGCCTCTGGCACCACATCTTCTCCAGCCTTCTCACTGTCTGACTCGAGTGCCAGCTGCACAGGCTGCTGGTGCAGCACCACACCAGCCTCCTCACTGTCGGAATCAGCTACTAGCTGCACAGGCCGCTGATGGGCCACAACAGTTACAATAGCATTGAAAAAAACATCTCAAAGGTGCTTTTTTTTCCAAGAGGCGACTGGACTTTCTGGTTTTCCTCTGAAGACGTTTTGCTTCTCATCCAAGAAGCTTCTTCAGCTCCGACTGGATGGAGGGGAATGGAAGGATTTATATACTCCCCTTTCCTCCTTCTCCCCTCCGTTCCTTCCTTCTCTTCCCCTTCCCTTTTTCCTTCTCCTTCCTCTTCTACTACTTCTTCCTCTTCCTCCTTTTGGCGGGGTGGTAGCCCAGTGGTCAGAATGCAGTATTGCAGGCTTAACTCTGCCCCACTGTCAGCAGTTCGATCCTGACTGACTCAAAGTTGACTGAGTCAAAGTTGACTCAGCTTTCCGTCCTTCCGAGGTGGGTCAAATGAGGACCCAGATTGTTGGGGGGGCAAGAGGGCTGGAAAAGCATTGTGAAGCGGTATATAAGTCGAAGGGCTGTTTCTATTGCTATTGTGTACTTACAGGCTCATGGAGCTCCGTCGCAGGGACCCCGACTTGCGCTTCAGCGTAGTGCAAACCAGCAAGTCGGTGAAGAGGAACAGCGACCGGTCCTTCTTCCCACCCACTGCCTTCTGCAAAAAAAATCCAGGAAGGGTCATGTTAGGAAATGACTATTGTCTAACTAGTCGGTCAGGCAATATATAAACTATCAATACATGTTTGTCCAAAGGTATTATATTGCTTTAAGACTGTATTGCATCATCCTGTATCCTGATTGGCTGAGCTCTGTAGCCAATGTACTTAAGGGGAAGCCTGAATCATGGCTTGTGGGCACTACACCATTTTATCTGCTTATTTGCTGTTACCTCTCCACCTGTTCTCTCTGTATGATCACTGTTTGATCATTGCTACTTGTTGCTTTCTACTATTTATTGAATGTTTTAATACTGAACTTGTTCCTGTTTGAAACTCAAGAAGAACTGTTTTATTGTGTAATGACAACAACTGGTAAGAAGACTTTGTACTTGGAATATCCCTGATCTGTGTATGACTTGGATTGTTATTGGACTTTGCTTTACTTTTTTCTAAAAAGTAAAAGATTACCATAACTCAGTGTGTCAGAATATTAACTGTAGTTATTCACTCTCAGCCGCTTTCATATGCATACTCAAGGGGTACTCTGCTCAATAACCCATAACATCGGTTATGAGTCGAAGAATATCCTTAACAGGTCACATGGAAAACAACACAAGGCTTGTGACCTGCAAAAGTGGCAAGCTTTGGGAACCCACAGATCTCTGGTATCTGGCTGGATGAAAATGGACCGTTTATACAGAGTGGATTTCCTTCATTTAGCATCTTGCCAAATATTTTTAACGGAGCAGCTGCATAGAGATAGTCCTTGACTTTCAGTCATTCATTTAGAGATCGTTTGAAGTGATAACGTCACTGAAAAAAGTGACTTAGGACCATTTTTCACACTTACGACCGTTGCAGCATCCCCCGTGGTCACGTGACCAAAATTCAGGCGCTTGGCAAGGGACTCGTACTTATGACGGTTGCAATGTCCTGTGATCCCCTTTTGCGACCTCCTGAACAAGCAAAGTCAGTGGGGAAGCCAGATTCACTTAACAACCCGTATTGCTAACTTAATAACTGCAGCGGTTCACTTAACAACCGTGGCAAGAAGGGTTGTAAAATGGGGCAAAACTCCTTTTAATAACCCTCTTGCTTGGTAGCTGAAATTTTGAGCTTAATTGTGGTCGTAATCAAGGATTAATTGTCTTCCCTGGCATCAGATCACACTCCTTTCTTCTTATTTTGTTTATTTATTAAACTTTTTTTTTTTTTTTTTAAATTGAACCTGGCTGGGAGTTGCCAACTCACACTTCTGGTGGCACACAGTTGGGGAACGCAGAGTTGGAAGGGACCTTGGAGGTCATCTAGTCCAACCCCCTGCTCAGGCAGGAATCCCTATACCTTTTCAGACAAAGGCTTGCCCAGTCTCTGCTTAAAAATCTCCAGTGTTGGAGCACCCACAACTTCTGGTGGCAAGCAGTTCCACTGGTTGATTGTTCTAACTGTCAGGAAATTTCTTCTTAGTTCTAGGTTGCTTCTCTCCTTGATTAGTTTCCACCCGTTGCTTCTTGTCCTGCCTTATTCAGGTGCTTTGGAGAATAGCTTGACTCCCTCTTCTTTGGAGCAGCCCCTGAGATATTGGAAGACTGCTCTCATGTCTCCCCTAGTCCTTCTTTTCATTATATATTTTTGTATCTTTTCTTTTATGTACACTGAGAGCGTATGCACCAAGATAAATTCCTTGTGTGTCCAATCACACTTGGCCAATAAAAAATTCTATTCTATTCTATTCTATTCTATTCTATTCTATTCTATTCTATTCTATTCTATTCTATTCTATTCCACTCCACTCCACTCCACTCCACTCCACTCCATTAAACTTGACATACCCAATTCTGCAACCGTTCTTCGTCTGTTTTAGCCTCCAGTCCCCTAATCCTCTTTGTTGCTCTTCTCTCCACTCTTTCTAGAGTCTCCACGTCTTTTTTATAACATGGGGACCAAAACTGGATGCAATATTCCAGGTGTATTAATTATTGTATTACAGTATCTGTGGCCGGATTTGTATTACAACATTTTATGACAAAAAAAAAAATTGTATTACAGATTGGTATTATTTCTATTACAGATGTCTGTCTGTCTATCTATCTATCTATCTATCATCTATCTATCTATCTATCTATCTATCTATCTATCCATCCATCCATCCATCCATCCATCCATCTATCATCTATCTATATCTATCTATCTATCTATCTATCTATCTATCTATCTATCTATCTATCTATCATGTATCTATGGTATCTATCTATCTATCTATCTATCTATCTATCTATCTATCTATCTATCTATATCTATCTATCTATCTATCTATCTATCTATCTATCTATCTATCTATCATGTATCTATGGTATCTATGGTATCTATCTATCTATCTATCTATCTATCTATCTATCTATCTATCTATCTATCCATTACTATCTGTGCTCAGCAGATTTGGAAAACAGAACAATGATGTTGTGGATAAGACACCAAGGAGGCCAGAGAGCAAATCTAACCCTTTGGTCCTCTTTCTAGAGTTCAACATCTGGATGAGATGCCCCCCACCCCCACCCCCCCACCCCCGGGCTCATGTCAAAGCTTCCCACCAAGGGAAACAGCTCGAGGTATGGAGGACTTACCACTTCCACCACCATCTCCTGCCGTAAGAACCTCCGAAGTGGAGCTTGAAGCTGTAGAGATGAGAGATCAAACCATACATAATAATAATAATAATAATAATAATAATAATAATAATAATAATAATAACAATAATAATAATAATAATAATACATAATGAATATACATTCATTTCATTTCATTTTCATTTCATCATCATCATCAATGAAAATGAAATGAATGAATAATACATAATGAATATACATTAAATGCTCAACATGTAAGAGCCAAGGTGGCGCAGTGGTTAGAGTGCAGTACTGCAGCTATTTCAGCTGACTGCTAGTTCAGCAGATCAGCGGATCAAATCTCACCGGCTCAAGGTTGACTCAGCCTTCCATCCTTCCGAGGTGGGTAAAATGAGGACCCAGATTGTTAGGGGGCAATATGCTATTTAGTATATACTGTCTTTGGTGTAAGCCGCCCAGAGTCCTCGGAGAGTGGGCGGCATAGAAATATGACTAATAAATAAATAAAATAATAATAACAGAAATTATGATTGGTGTTAGAAGCATACTGAAATATGAAATTAAAAAAAAGGGAAGGACCACAGCTTCGATTACTAGAGTGATAGGTGAAGGGGGGGGAGGGAGGGAAGGGAGCAAAAGTAGAAGTAGAAATAAGAGGGGGAAAATAGTAAAAATAGATATTAAGATGATATAACGTATGGAAGAACTACAAGGAGGTTTAGAATTGGAGGATGATAGTAGAAGTTACCGTGTTAGTAAAGTTAAAGAGGAAAATGAAATGTAATTATTGGGAATAATATTATGTTTATTTGTATTGAAATGTATGATACCCAGGTATCTAACCATTCACGCAATGAGATGTATAAAAATGAAAAACTTTTATTAAAAGAAAAAAAGCAATTGTCATAATAATACCAAAGACTAATAAAGGAGAATATTTGTGACTCGGGGTTGAACTCTGAGGTCCTTGGTGCTATCTGTGTCAGCGTTCCAGCGCTGACATATGAAAGGAGAGGAGAAGCTTGAACTTTTGCCTACTTAATTCCTTTGAAGATTCTGTTTCCTCGGAGATGGGAGGAGGGGGGGGGACATTCCTGTGATCTGACGGAGATGGGATGAGATGAGTGGCTTGGAAGATAGCCAATGAGACGCAGAGAATTGGGGATCGGAAAGGGAGGGATTGGGCGGGCAAAGGTCAGGGCTGACCGCGAAAGAGCCAGGGACAGATCACTATGCTCAATAAAAAGAAAATTTCCTCAAAGATCGGCAGTTTGGAAATTCATTTATTTTGAGATAGTATCGAAACCTGACAATCTGAGCTTGGGTTGGGTTTTTTTTTTTGCAGACCTTTCTTTACCCAACTAGATAACATCATCAGCAAGTAACTTGCTCGCAGAGAGCAAACCCTTCTCCCTTTTAGCACTGATGATGGTTGGGTAATGAAATATCTACAAGAAAACAGGCAAGCTCAGAGAGCATCAAGGAACCCACAGTTCTTCTCCTTCTACTCCAATCTGCAAATCCCATCCCTTCTAGCACTGATGATGTTACCTAGGTGGGTAATTAAACGTCTGCAAAAAAACAACCGAGTTCAGACAGCACATTTCTTTTTTCAGATCCACCAAGATGGACCCATAAAGTAAATTAGCCACGATTCATTTGTGGAGAGGACTCCGCCCAAATCTGAGAACTGGAGAACTTACGTCTTCCATCCCTTCAATGTGGGATTCGATCTCCTGCACTATCCGGGCATTCCTTTCCACCTCCTCTGCGCTCTTCATCCCTTTGTTGATCTTCTCGGCTACCTGCTTGATGCTCTTCTGAGCTTCTATCAACAACGGGTAGTCTGGATGCTCCTCCGAAGTATGTTTGAGAAGGTCCTGACGGGGGAAGAGAGCAGGTCTCGTAAGAGCAGAGGACAACCAGATGGGGAAGCTATCAGAATCAGAATCGAGCTGGAAGGGACCTTGGAGGTCTTCTAGTCCAGTCCCCTACCCAAGCGGGAGACCCTATACCAGGGGTCTCCAACCTTGGCCCCTTTAAGACTTGTGAACTTCAACTCCCAGAATTCCCCAGCCAGCCATGCATGCTTCTTGTCCTGCCTTCTGTCCTTTGGAGAATAGCTTGACTCCTTCTTCTTTGGGGCAGCCCCTCAAATATTAGAAGACTGCTATCATGACTCCCCCTAGTCCTTCTCTTCGTTAGACTAGACCCGTGATGGCGAACCTACGGCACGCGTGCCACAGGTGGCACACGGAGCCATATCTGTGGGCACGCGAGTGTTGCCCTAGCTCAGCTCCAGCGTGTATGTGCGTGCCGGCCAGCTGATTTTCGGGCCTTCCAGACCCACCGGAAGTCGGGAAACGGGCTGTTTCCAGCCTCTGGGGGGATGGGGAAGGCTGTTTTCGTCCTCCCCAGGCTCCTAGAGAGGCTCTGGAGCCTGGAGAGGGTGAAAAATGGGCTTGCCGGGCCCACTGTGCCATCACGTGCCAAAAGTGGGGATTCTGCGCACATGCGCGGGGGGCATTGAATTATAGGTGTGGGCACATGCGTGCGTGACCCCCCCACACCCGCACTCCCCCTGCTTTTGGCACGCGACGGCAAAAAGGTTAGCTTTCACTGGACTAGACATACCCAATTCCTGCACCATTTTAACCCCCGTCTCGTGCCAAACTCAGAGGTTACTTAACGGTGCAGGCAGCCTCTGGAAGCCAAAAAGCGCCAGGCAGAAGATCCATCTCTGCCCAATATAACCAACTCCCAGCCCATAAATTTGCCTGGATAACTGGCCAGCTGCAAGCATCACGGCTGGATAATTGAATGCCACCTGTGCCAACAACCATCCATCTTCCTAGGGGATGGAACCGGAAGGGCGATTTCTGGGTGGGCCACCCTTGTCCCATCTCATTTATTTATAAGAGCCAGGAAGGCAAGGATTGTGAAGCCCATCGGTTGTGTGTGTGTCAAACCCACACACTCACACACAAACCCCAATGCCGCCTACTGTAAACAGAGGTGTTGCCAACATCCGCAACATCTGTCTTTCGTCCCACTACGGCGCAGCCTTAGCTCTTCCTAGCCTCTCTGCCTTGCGGTGTATTTCTTCCTCCACGCTGAAGACTTCCTTGGCTTCCTGGTTCCTTTATTTAATATTTTTTTTTCCTTGGTATGGTTGTTGTTGCTGGTACCGCCCGGTTGGGGGGGGGGGGGGGGGTTGCTTCAAGCCTTAGGAATTTGGCGAATGTTGACATTTGCCGGAGAGGCTTTAAAAAAGGCTCCGAGAGAATTATTTCCAATAAAAAAATAAAATAAAAATAAAACGTGGAAGCATTAAATCTTTCTCGGAACAGGGCAAAGGTCATCGAGCCCGACATCCTGTTTCTAATAGAATCACAGAGGGGGAAGGGACCTTGGAGGTCTTCTAGTCCAACCCCCTGCTTAAGCAGGAGACCTCCGGGCCATTTCAAAAGGGCTAAGCCAGATCCTTCCGCAAATTCGTCCTCCTTCGTCATCATCAGGGGTGGGTTCTAAATTTTTTTTACTATCGGTTCTGTGGGCGTGGCTTATTTTGTGGGCGTGGCTTGGTGGTGGTGGGGTAATGTGACTGGGTGGGCGTGGCCAACTTTTTTTTTTTTTTACTTTTAAAAGCATTTTTTCTACAACCTTATGAGGTTGCAGGAAAAAAATGCTTTTAAAAGCCTCTGACGATCCCAGCTGAGCCACATGATCATCAGAGGCTTTTTTTTTACTTTTAAAAGCATTTTTTTCTACAACCTTAAGAGGCTGCAGAAAAAACTGCTTTTAGAAGCCTCTGACGATCAGGCAACTCAGCTGGGATCGCCAGAGGCTTTTAAAGGCATTTTTTTTTCCCTACAGCCTCTTCGCCTGAAGAGGTTGCAGAAAAAAATGCTTTGAAAAGCCTCTGACGATCCCAGCTGAGCCGCGATCATCAGAGGCTTTTTTTAAAAAAAAATTTAAAATCATTTTTTCGGCCGAAGTGGTTGTAGAAAAAATGCTTTTAAAAGTAAAAAAAAAAAAAGCCTCTGATGAGGTGGGTGGGGTAAGTGAGCGGTGACCGGGCCGGGACTGGTTCAGGGGCGTGGCCAGCCAATGTTATTACCGGTTCTCTGAACTACTACAAACTTTTACTACCGGTTCTTGCGAACCGGTGTGAACCGGGAGCATCTTCATCATCATTTTATCCTAACTTCACAAATGCATACATACACACTTCTAGACACCAGGCTGGAACCAGGAGACGGTGAGTTCTAGTCCCACCTTAGCCATGAAATCTGATTGAGTGGCTTTGGGCCAACCACCAGGAGACGGTGAGTTTTAGTCCCACCTTAGCCATGAAAGCTAGTTGGGTGGCTTTGGGCCAATCACCAGGAGACGGTGAGTTCTAGTCCTGCCTTAGCCATGAAAACTGGCTGTGGGACTTTTTTCAGTGCTGCTATAACTCCAAACGACCATTGAAAGTATTGAAAAAAGTGACTTACGACTGGTTTTTCACATTTACGACCATTGCGGCATCCCCATGGTCACATGATCAAAATTTGGGACGCTTGGCAACTGACATGTACTTATGACTGTTGCAATGTCCTGGAATCACGTGATCCCCTTTTGTGCCCTCCTGACAAGCGGGGAAGCGAGATTCACTTCACGATCGTATAATCCACCTAACGACTGCAGTGAATCGTTTAACAACCATGGCAAAAACAAAACAAAAAAAGTCATAAAATGGGCCGTGACTCGCTGAACAGCTGCCTCGCTTAGCAGCGGAAAGGTTGCGCTCGATTGTGATCATATACTATGATCACATAGTATTTCACATCTCCACAGATGATAAGACTACAGTAGTGGGATTCAGCCGGTTCGAGCGAATTGCTAGTTAAATTGCTGGCTGGCCCCTCCTCTCCCCATCCCTTCCAGGAGTCCCCACGCGTCCCATTTTGCCTCCCAGGTAAGCAGAGGGAGGCCTCCTAGGCCCAAAACGGGGTACAGCGAAGACCCCTCCCTGTGGCCCGTTTTCGCTCCCAGGAGGCTGCAGGGAGGCCTACTAGGCCCAAAACGGGGCACGGGGGGGCATGTTCTCCCCGCGGCCCATTTTTGCTCCCAGCGGGGTGCAGGAGGCCGCATCCTGCCTGTCACGCCCCATGGCCACGCCCACCACGGCCACACCCACCCAGCCGGTCATTAGGGCAGAGAACCGGTTGTTAAAATTACTGGAATCCCACCAGATCTGGTTTCCTTGAAATGAATGGATCAGGGCTATTTTAGAAAATGAGATTTATTTTTTCCCAAAAGGTTGGAGGTCTCAGCGGTCCAAAATGAGTAATCGGCGTTTCTCTAAATAGTTCCAAACTGAGGCTTTGAACAGGCATTTAAAATATTCAAGGAATTCAGCCAGGAAGGGCCCGTTCACGTTTCTACACCATCGAAAAAAAATCAAGAGCAAACGAATAGCAACTCCACCGAAAACACAAGAAGGGAAAAAATTTCCCATGGAAAATATCCAGGGCACACTGGCTTCTTCTAAACTCCTCTCTGAGTTTACGCAAGAAAGTCTCCCTTGGGGCAATTTTTCGGGAGTGATAAAAATAATAATAATAATAATGAAAAACGGGTTTTCTTTTCCCGCATCGAATGATTGTGGAGTATTCGGATAAGTCCCTGAGGCGGTTTGGTAAAAAAGAACCAAACCCACAGAGAAGTAAAAGAGGCAGAAGAAAGGAAACCCAAAACTAAGAAAGCGAAAATAAGGCTAAATATGAGGAGCTCAAAAATAACATTAGGGGTAGTCCCCGACTTACAATCGTTCATTTAGTGACGTTTCGAAGTTGCAACGGCACTGAAAAAAGCGACTTGTTATGACCATTTTTCACACTTACGACTCGTTGCAGCATCCCTAGGATCACGTGACCAACATTGAGATGCTTGGCAACTGACTCACTTTTATGACCGTTGTAGTGTCCGGAGTTATGTGATCCCCTTTTTGCGACCTTCCGATGAAGGGGGAAGCCAGATTCACTTAACAACCACGGCAAGAGAAGTCGTAAAATGGGGCAAAATTCACTTAACAACCGTCTCCCTTAGCGATGGGAATTTTGGGCTCGGTGGTGGTCGTAAGTCGAGGATTACCTGTATATACTTCTGCAGTCAGCCAGGTGAAACACTGTTTTTTTTTCCGGATCTTCGATCGTGGTTTCCTTTGAGCCAAATACACAGCCATGCTTGAAATACTCACTTTGACCAGAAGTTCGTAGCGTGGAATTCGTTGGACTGGTTTGATCAGGAGGTCGGAAAGGGCCTGTTTCTCTTTGTTTTCCCTCATGCTTTGCTACAGGGAGCAAGGAAGAATTTTAAAAAAGAGAGACTTAAATATCTCCAACTAAAGAGCCCGGGGTGACATGTTTTTTGTCTAGTAGTTAAGGCACCAGGTGGGAAACCAGGAGAAGGAGAATTCTAGTCCCGCCTTAGGCATTAAATCTGGGTAACTTTGGGTCAATCGCCAGGAGATGGAAAGTTCTAGTCCTGCCTTAGGCATGAAATCCGGTTGAATTTGGGCCAATCACTGGGAGATGGTGAATTCTAGTCCTGCCTTAAGCATGAAATCTGGGTGACTTTGAGTCAATCACCAGGAGAAGGAGAATTCTAGTACTACCTTAGGTATGAAATCTGGGTGACTTTGAGCCAATCACCAGGAGACGGTGAATTCTAGTACCACCTTAGGTATGAAATCTGGGTGACTTTGGGTCAATCACCAGGAGACGGTGAATTCTAGTCCCGCCTTAGGCATGAAAGCCAGCTAACCAACTTTGATGATAATGATGTTACCTAGTTGGGTAATGCAGCTACTGCACGAAATTTCATACATATACACTACATACAGTATGTCAGGGGTGTCAAACTGAATTACTTAGAGAGCCGGATCAGCACTTTAATTGTCCTCTGCGGGCCGGCCGAGGGGTGGGGGGGAAGGAGACGGGATGGATGGCCTCCTCCAGCACCCGGGGGCCGATCCTTTGCTATTTCCAGGCTGGTCCCACAGGCCAGATCTAAGCACCTCGCGGCCCGCAGGCCCCTGCAGTATGCGTTTATATCATAATAAACAATTGTAAACAGAAACAATTATTTATTGTGATATAAACACATATGTAGTATATATATTTGAAATGTTTGAAATCGCCAAGCTCAGAGAGCACCAAGGACTCCTCCGTCAATATGGCCAAGGTTAAGGGATTATGGGGTACGGAGACCTCAAAACATTTGATTGGGCAAGGCGCTAAAATGCACCAAGCTAAGGAGCCTAGTTAATGACTTCAATCCAAGAAGCTGTAAATATCCAGATGGTCCTTTTCAAAAAACCAAAACATCAAAAGCGAAGAAAGAAAGAAAGAAAGAAAGAAAGAAAGAAAGAAAGAAAGAAAGAAAGAAAGAGGGAGGGAGGGAGGGAGGGAGGAAGGAAGGAAGGAAGAAAGAAGGGAGGGAGGGAAGGGAGGGAGGGAGGGAGGGGAGGAAGGAAAGAAAGAAAAAAGAAAGAAAGAAAGAGGGAGGAGGGAGGAAGGAAGAAAGAAAGAAAGAGAAGGAAGGAACACTCTACAACTTTAAGAGAAAGAACTAGAAAGAGAAAAAGAGAAAAGAAAACAAGAATGAGAGAGCGAGAGAAGGAAGGAAGAAAAGGAAGGAAGGAAGAAAGAAAGAAAGAGAAAGAAGGAGGAAGGAAGGAAGGAAGGAAGAAGGAAAGGAAGGAAGGAACACTACAACTTTAAGAGAAAGAACTAGAAAGAGAAAAAGAGAAAAGAAAACAAGAATGAGAGAGCGAGAGAAGGAAGGAAGGAAAGAAAAGAAAAGAAAGAAAGAAAGAAAGAAAGAAAGAAAGAAAGAAAGAAAGAAAGAAAGAAAGAAAGAAAGAAGCACAGGCAAGAACTAATTATCTGAAAATTGATCATTTCTTAGAAGAGCTCTGATTCAACAAGAAGTGGAAGTGAGCAGGATGGACAGACAGACGGGCCTCTTACCGCCAGAAATTTCATAAACGCTGGTCGGGCTTCCTTGGCAATCCTTATGGCATCTTTGGCATTTAGAAAATTATCGATGTAGGCAGAATAAATATTCACCAAGTTGTCTTTGGAAAACTAAAAAAAAAAAGAGCAAAAGAATTAACAAATTAACAAACTTTTTTAGTTTAAAAAGTTTAAACATGTTCAACTCCTTTGCAAGGGGTAGGAAACTAACATTGTTGTAATATATTGGTCAGTCTTCACCTAGGAGGCCTAATCTACGTACAGGTAATTCTTGACTTACAACAGCTCATTTAGTAACTGTTCAAAGTTACAACAGCAGCACTGAAAAAAAAAGGGACTTACGACCGTTTTTCACACTTACGACCATGGCAGCGTCTGCATGGACACCTGATTGAAATTCAGAGGCTTGGCAACTGACTCGTATTTATGACGGTTGCAGTGTCTGGGAAGGGGGGGGGTGTCATGTGATTCTCTTTTGCGACTTTTCTGACGAGCAAAGACAATGGGGAAGCCAGATTCACTTAACAACCGTGTGCCTAGCTTAACAGCGGCAGCGACTCATTTAACGACTGTGGCAAGAAAGGCCGTAAGGTAAGGTAAGGCAGAACTCACTTAGCAACCGTTCTCGCTTAGCAATAGCAATTCTGGGCTCAATCGTGGTCGTATGTCGAGGCTTACCTGTACTACGTAGGTCTACGCCAGTGTTTCTCAACCTTGGAAGCTTGAAGATGGGTGGACTTCAACTCCCAGATTCTGGGAGTTGAAGTCCACCCATCTTCAAGCTTCCAAGGTTGACAAACACTGGTCTACTCAGAAGGACGAACCCACAAGAATTGTTAAGAGCCATGCCAAGCTGAACCAAAAAAAAAAAAAAGACAATTTTACCAACTTATGAGAAATCTCCCATGTGAATTACCAGCTGGTGCATTTGACGTACCAGGTGGCCCCATAAGTGGGAGAACATTTTCCCAAGGGACTGCAAAAAATCAAATTTTGAGTTAACCAATGACGTGATGTCTCTTGAGTCATCATCATCTGTTGCCTTCCAAGCACATAACTATATTACTGTTGAAACTTAATTCCTGGGTTGAAATGCGAAGGGAGAAGGCTGCCAAACCTTGGTTAACCTCAAAAGTGAAACACCATTAGGCCCGGTTTAATCGTGGAGGCGCAGACCAGAATCGGATCAATGAAAAGCCAGTTTGGTATAGTGCTTAAGGTGCTGACCTAGAAACCAGGAGACGGGGAGTTCTAGTTCTGTCTTAGGTATACAAAGCCGGCTGGGTGACTTTGGGCCAATCACCAGGAGACGGTGAGTTCTAGTCCCGCCTTAGGCAGAAAGCCAGCTGGGTGACTTTGGGCCAATCACCAGGACACAATGAGTTCTAGTCCCGCCTTAGCCATGAAAGCCAGCTGGGTGACTTTGGGCCAATCACCAGGAGACGGTGAGTTCTAGTCCCGCCTTAGGCAGAAAGCCAGCTGGGTGACTTTGGGCCAATCACCAGGACACAATGAGTTCTAGTCCCGCCTTAGCCATGAAAGCCAGCTGGGTGACTTTGGGCCAATCACCAGGAGACGGTGAGTTCTAGTCCCGCCTTAGGCAGAAAGCCGCTGGGTGACTTTGGGCCAATCACCAGGAGACAATGAGTTCTAGTCCCGCCTTAGCCATGAAAGCCAGCTGGGTGACTTTGGGCCAATCACCAGGAGACGGTGAGTTCTAGTCCCGCCTTAAGTCATGAAAGCCAGCTGGGTGACTTTGGGCCAATCACCAGGAGACGATGAGTTCTAGTCCCGCCTTAAGTCATGAAGCCAGCTGGGTGATTTGGGGCCAATCACCAGGAGACGGTGAGTTCTAGTCCCGCCTTAGCCATGAAAGCCAGCTGTGTGACTTTGGGCCAATCACCAAGACGATGAGTTCTAGTCCCCCTTAAGTCATGAAAGCCAGCTAGGTGACTTTGGGCCAATCACCAGGAGACGGTGAGTTCTAGTCCCGCCTTAGGGATGAAAGACTGCTAGGTGATTTTGGGATAGAGTCACCCCACCGCTTCTCATACCTAAGACCAGAACTGATCATCGCCCCGTTTGCAGCCTGGTGCCTCTAACTACTAGACCAAACTGTCTCTTTATTTAATTTATTTATTAAATGGATAGGCTGCCCATCTCACTGGATATTTAATTTAACCCGTTCTCCACTTAATAGAAATAATTGGGATAAAGTTCTATGGGCAAAAGAACCTCCTGGTTCTTTTGCCCATAGAACTTTATCCCAATTATTTCTATTAAGTGGAGAACGGGTTAAATTAAATATCCAATCAGATGGGCAGCCCATCCATTTAATGGAGGAGTTATCTATGTAGAAGAATAAGCAAGGAAAGTGAAGGAATGATTGTCGGATTTCCGGAAGGGTAAGAGGATCCAGAATATGGAATTTTGTGCATGTGAAAAAGAAACCAACATTTATGACGATTTAGAAGCAACCAATAGTGGGATTCAAATAATTTAACAACCGGTTCGCTGCCTTAATGAACGGCAGGGTGGGTGTGGCCATGGTGGGCGTGGCCAGGGGGTGACTTGGCCTCCTGCACCTCCCTGGGAGCATAAACGGACCTCGCGCGCGGGGGGGGGGGGAGAGTGACGCACCACCCCCCGCCCCGTGCCCCGTTTTGGGCCTAGTAAGCCTCCTTGCACTTACCTTGGAGCCAAAATGGGGCGCGTTGTGCAGGGGTGGGTTCCACTTACCGTTACTACCGTTTCACAACGGGATCGCGTGCACACTTCTGCGCATGCGCAGATCACCTCTGATGACATCGTGGCGGGTGGGCGGAGCCTCGTGCTGGTTTTATTACCGGTTCTATAGAACTGGGCCGAACTGGGAGCAACCCACCACTGGGCAAAAGTGAGGCCAGCCAGCAATTTAACTACCGTTCGCACGAACCGGCTGAATCCCATCACTGGAAGCAAAATTCCCATCACGCCCGGTTCTCCCCTCTCCTCCGGAAGTCGGAAGTGGCACGTGGGAACGATACTCACAGACTCTACCAGGATCTCCCCCACTTTTTGCTTCTCGTGCCAGTTATGAACACATTCGGAGACATCCTCCAGGAACTCCTCGTGATGTTCCAGCAACTCCGGAATCTGGTCGAAGATCTCGTCCACCAGCGAAGGGTCGCAGAGGGTGGAATTTTCCGGCTGTTTCAGGGGCTTCATGTAACCCTGGAAGAAGAGAAGAAGGAAATCAAAATAAATGGATTTAGAAACACAGGAAGTTGGCCTGACTTCACGGAGCCCCCGATGGAGGGCAGATGGTCCTAGAATAGAGATGCAAGGACCTTTTTATAACCTGCTACTAATTCAAAGTGGGTTCATTTAAAATGCCCAGAATTGAGTCTGGGAACTCCAAACGCTTTAAAGTACTAGATAAAAAAAAACCGTACTTTCCAAAATTAAAAAAAAAAACAAAAAAACAAATACAGATAGTTCTTGACTTTTTAGAATCACAACTTAGTTCAAATTTTCCATTGCAGGACAATAGTTAAGTGAGCTGCGCCTTGTTTTACGACCTTCTTGGGACTGTTGTTAAATGAATCACGGATGTTATTAAGTGAAACACACAGTCGTTAAGCAAATCAGGCTTCTCCCGTTGATTTCGCTTGTTAAAAAGCCAGCTGGGAAGGTTACAAATGTTAAGTGATTATATGACGGCCCCCCAGAAGAGAGTGACTGTCATTTAGACATGCCAATTGCCAATCAACCATATTTGGATGACAGGCAGTCCTCGTCGTACGACTACAATGGAGCTCAAGCTTTATGTTGCTAAGCAAAATAGTCGTTAAAGGAATTTTGCTCCATTCTACGACCTTTCTTGCCATAGTTGTTACGTGAAGTTAATGACATGGTCGTTGAGTGAATCCGGCTTCCCCATTGACTTTGCTCATCAGAAGGTCGCAAAAATCAGAAGGACAGTGCAACCGACATAAGTAAATGCCAGTTGCCAAGCATTCAGCTCAAATTCAATTCTTTGTGCAAATGATATGATAAACTGCGTCATTTGCACTGGACTTTTATAATAGCATATCAGCTTGTCCCAGCTCCACACCCATGGAGTATCTATTTCCACTCCCCCAAAAAGGATGGTTTACCTGCATCAAGGTACGGAGAGACTCCACGTAGGATTGCTCCGTGTCCAACAGAGTCATGGTGACATGTTTCCGCATATCCTGCAACGAAGAAGAGAGGGGCATTAAAAGATCATCCATCATTTTTTTAAAAGTTTTTTATTTTCATAAACACATTTAAATGCACAGTCATTTCCATCATTTTTCATTCATCTTTTCTTTTCGCTTTCGTTTTTAATTTTTACCCTTTACCTTTACTCCAAACTTTCTTCTTCTCCTCCCCTTCTCTTCCTTCCTCTTCTCCTCCTACTTCCTTCCTTCGTTCTTCCTCTCCTTCTCTTTCCTTCTTCCCCTTCTCTTCCCCCACTCCTCTCTTCTTCCCCCCCTTCTAACCTTCTCCTCTACTCCTCTTTTTTCTCCCTCTTCTTCCTCTCCTTTTCCTTTTCTTCTTTCTCCTCTTCTCTCCTCTCCTCTCTTTTCCCTTCCTCTCTCTTCTACTCCTTCCCCTCTCTCCTGTTGTTTCCCTTTTCAATTCAATCTAAAGTGGTGTTAATCCATCTTGCCGTATGTACCCCGTGTCCTTCTCCGGGTACAAATAATCCTCACTGTTTGTGTCGGGACAAACACCGTGGAGTTAGCAATGAGCGTCCCACCTCTTTGCCCAGGTCTAACCCACTTCTGGACTTGATCTGCCGTCCCAGACACCTCCACCTCCGAAACACGCGCAGAGTTATATTTATAGAGAAATATAAATAAATATGAGATCGGAACGGCGACATTTGCCGGACAGCCTGTCAAGAAAGAGATTCTGCGGAATCGACTGTCGTAGAACATCCGAATGGTAGAATTACGCATGGCACATAATTTTATTTGGTTTGTTCCATTGAATGCATACCTGGCTGGGGAATTCTGGGAGTTGAAGTCCACATGTCTTAAAGGGGCCAAGGTTGGAGACCCCCTGCCCTACACTCAGTGGTGAAATCTAAAATTTGTTACTACTGGTTCTGTGAGCGTGGCTTGGTTGGGAGGTGGTGGTAATGTGACTGGGTTCGGCGAAGAGGTTGTAAAAAAATGCTTTCAAAAGGCTCTGACGATCCCAGCCAAGTTGCCTGATCAGCAGAGGCTTTTTTTCTTTTTAAAAGCCTCTGCTGCTCAGGCAACTCAGCTGGGATCGTCAGAGGCGTTTAAAAGAAAAAAAGGCTCTGCCGATCAGGCAACTCAGCTTGGATCGTCAGAGGCATTTAAAAGAAAAAAAAACTCTGACGATCAGGCAACTCAGCTTGGATCGTCAGAGGCATTTAAAAGAAAAAAAGCTTCTGCCGATCAGGCAACTCAGCTTGGATCATCAGAGGTGTTTAAAAGAAAAAAAAACTCTGACGATCAGGCAACTCAGCTTGGATCATCAGAGGCGTTTAAAAGAAAAAAAGCTTCTGCCGATCAGGCAACTCAGCTGGGATCGTCAGAGGCTTTTAAAAGAAAAAAAGGCTCTGCTGATCAGGCAACTCAGCTTGGATCGTCAGAGGCGTTTAAAAGAAAAAAAGGCTCTGCCGATCAGGCAACTCAGCTTGGATCGTCAGAGGCATTTAAAAGGAAAAAAGCTTCTGCCGATCAGGCAACTCAGCTTGGATCGTCAGAGGCTTTTAAAAGAAAAAAAGCTTCTGCCGATCAGGCAACTCAGCTTGGATCGTCAGAGGCATTTAAAAGAAAAAAAAACCTCTGTCGATCAGGCAACTCAGCTTGGATCATCAGCTGACGATCCCTTTGACGATCCCAGCTCATCAGAGGCTTTTTTTTTACTTTTAAAAGCATTTTTTCGGCGGAAGAGGTTGTAGAAAAAATGCTTTTAAAAATTAAAAGAAAAAGCCTCTGATGATTGTGCGGCTCAACTGGGCAAAGGAGGGAGGGGCAGGGATTTTGCTACCGGTTCTCCGAACCACCCGCCTCCATCGCTACCGGATTGGGCAATCCGGTCCGAACCGGGAGTATTTCACCCCTGCCTACATTACTTCAGAGAAATGGTTATCCAATCTCTTCTTAAATAAAAAAAGAAGAAAATCAGGCGTTTGCTAGCATCGTTCTTAATGAACATGCTTTTTTTTTAGTAAAGCCACAGCTTATATAACATCTTGTCCATGCTGTCTGGGGAATTCTGGGAGTCAAAGTCCACCCACCTTCAAGTTGCGAGACACTGCCATCGATTAATTAAAGGGAAAAAAAAAACCTACGTCCAGTTTTCACACTTACGACCGTTGCAGCATTTCCTACGTTCACCTGATCAACAATTTGGGTGTTTGGTGACCGGCTTGTATTTATGACCTTCTCGGAATACGTGTCCAGCTCCCGAGGTCTCTTCTTCATCCAGAGCTTCTGCTCGATCAGAGGGTTGGACTAGAAGACCTCCAAGATCCCTTCCAACTCTGTGATTCTAACTCACCTTCAAAATTCTGATTTTTGTTTTTGTTTTTTAAAGTTTTAACTCCCTGGCACAATATCAGCAGCTTGTCTGCCTCTTCTTTGGTTTCCCTGGCAATGACATTCGGTCTCTACTTAAAGCGGCGAATGATAGAAGCAGAGGGCGTGTGCCTTATGGGCTTTTGTGGCCAAAATGTTCCAAGATCTGCCTTTGTGTAACTAGAATGTTGTGTTCTTTTGCTGGACGGAGGGCTGCCGCTCTGGAGAGGCAAGAGAAATCACCCTGTGGCTGAAGAGGAATTAGAATAACAGAATTAACCGAGTTGGAAGGGACCTTGGAGGTCTTCTAGTCCAACCCCATGCCGCAACAGGAGACCCTATACTCAGCTCCGGTGCGCATGTGCGTGCTGGCCAGCTGATTTTCGGGCCTTCTGGGCCCACCGGAAGTCGGGAAACAGGCTGTTTCTGGCCTCCGGGGAGTGGGGAAGGCCTGTTTTTCGCTCTCCCCAGGCTCCTAGAAAGTATCTGGAGCCTGGGGAGGGCGAAAAATGGGCCTTTCCCACACACACCCTGAGGCACTTCAGAGGCCAGAAATGGCCCATTTATTTTGCTCATTTTTGCCTTCCCTGGGCTCCAAGACAGCCTCTGGAGCCTGGGGAGGGTGAAAAATGGGCCTTTCCCACATACCCCCTGAGGCACTTCAGAGGCCAGAAATGGCCCATTTATTTGCTCATTTTTGCCCTCCCCGGGCTCCAAGAAAGCCTCTGGAGCCTGGGGAGTGTGAAAAATGGGCCTTTCACACCCCTGGAGGCCCTCCAGAGGCCAGAAATGGCCCATTTATTTGCTCATTTTCGCCCTCCCTGGGCTCCAAGACAGCCTCTGGAGCCTGGGGAGGGCAAAAAATAGGCCTTTCCCACACACCGCCTGAGGCCCACCGGAGGCCAGAAATGGCCCATTTATTTGCTCATTTTCGCCCTCCCCGGGCTCCTAGAAAGTATCTGGAGCCTGGGGAGAGTGAAAAACGGGCCTTCCCCACACACCCCCGGAGGCACTTCTGAGGCCAGAAATGGCCCATTTATTTGCTCATTTTCGCTCTCCCTGGGCTCCAAAAAAGCCTCTTGAGCCTGGGGAGGGCGAAAAATGGGCCTTTCCCACACACCGCCTGAGGCCCACCGGAGGCCAGAAATGGCCCATTATTTTGCTCATTTTCGCCCTCCCCGGGCTCCAAGACAGCCTCTGGAGCCTGAGGAGGGCGAAAAATGGGCCTACTGGGCCATCACGTGCCAAAAGCGGGGGGAGCCCGTGGGGGTCGTGCATGTATGCGTGGGGGGTGGGGCACTCTGTATTATGGGTGTGGGCACGCATGTGCGCGACCCTCCCGCGCGACCCCCGCTTTTGACACGCGACGGCAAAAAGGTTAGCCATCACTGCCCTATACCATTTCAGACAAATGGCTGTCCAGTCCCTTTTTAAAAGCCAACCCACAACTCCTGGAGGCAAATCAAGGCAGTTAAAGTCTGGTTTACATCCAACAACAGTCCTGTAGTGTGGGCCGGATGGACAGCAAAATAGTGTCTGCCCATTCCTGTCGCAATAACTGAACTGCCATTATTTTTAATTTTTTTTTAGAATTATATCGCAGCTTCCTTTGGGACCTCAGCATAAATAGCACTGCCTCGCCTCCTCCTCCTCCTCCTTTCCCCCTTCACGACAACCCTGTGAGGTAGGCCAGAGAGATGGTGACTGAAACCACTTCTCCAAAGCCCGTGAAGGCAGGACAAGAAGCGATGGATGGAAACTAATCCAGGAGAGAAGCAACCTAGAACCAAGGAGGAAATGTCCTGACATTGAGAACAATTAACCAGTGGAACAACTTGCCACTAGAAGTTGTGGGTGGCTCCATCACTGGAGGCTTTTGAGAAAGAACTGGAGAAGCATTTTTCTAGAATGGCGTAGGATTTTCTGCTTGAACAGGGAGTTGGATTAGAAAACCTCCGAGGCTCCTTCCAACTCTTGTTATTCTCGAACAGGTAATCCTCAATTTACGACCACAATTGATGTTCAGTGAGAAATTTGTTAGCTGAGTTTCGCCCCCATTTTACAACTTTTCTTACCACGTGAATCACTGCAGTCGTTAAATTCATAACACGGTGGCTAAACCTTTTCCCCCTTGACTTTGCTCGTCAGAAGGTCGCGAAAAGGACATGGCTACCGTCATAAATGTGAGTCGAGCATCCGAATGTGAATCACGTGACCCCGGGGGGGGGGGTGGCGGCCCGGGATGCAGCAAACGTCGTAAGTGTGAAAAATGGCCATCGGCCACCTTTTCAGTGATGTTGTAACTTCGACCGGTCGCTAAATGAACCGTTGTAAGTCGAGGACTACCTGAATCCTGCTCCAAATCACCCAGTAAGCCTTGATGGCTGATTGGCAGAGGTCTCCCTATTTTTATCCAGCCTCTTAACCCCCACCCCCCGGCCTTTCCCACCCAAGTCCAAGCAGACAGGCTTATATACTGTATATATAATATTTATATATATTATATATATTTGCAGACAGGCTGCCAATGACCTCTGGAGTATATATAAAACTCCAGAGGTCGTTTTGCAGCCTGAAGAATTAAAGCATTAATAAAGTTTGCATGCTTCCCCCACCCCCCCACCCCCCCGTCGGAGCAGCCTGGGAAAAAA